CAGTGAAATCAGTGGTGGTCAAAATAAGTTCAACGTGTAAAGCCCTGGCAATCAAGAGGATCTTCTGGGGCATCTTTTATTAACACTAACATGAAATATTTACCCACAGTCTCAGCCTCTTTTAACCCCCCCCACCCCTTCCTACTCACTGACACTCTGATTCTGAGAAAACAGAACGACTCGGGGTAAACCAATGTCCAATCAGGACATAGTAAAAAAAATAATCCCTCGTAATATAGAGACTATTTTCTGATAGGCATTAAACTTCCTCCTCGGTTATGCAAATAATTTTGGTTAGTTTTATGTTTAACCAAAGGAGAAATTTAATACTGTTGATCAAATCATATTTTTATATATATAAAAAAAATCTTGTTTCAAAGAAAATAACCCTAATTTTTTTTTTTACAACAATGTTATTTAAGATTTAAGATTTAAATAAATTATCTACTAAATCAGTACAAAACGGACTAATGTTAAAAGGCATCATAGTGAGAAAAAATGAACTTAATTAGCCTTTTGTGAAAAACTAATTTGTATTTAACTGTTTAATTTAATTTACACTTTTAAAATGAAGTTAAAAATATATGTTTTTATTTTTCTTTTTTTGTTGAGAAAACAAACTCAGGATAAGGATTTAGTATTTATAATAAATTAGCTTTTATGACAGTTAATTAATCTATAGTTTGATGTTACTATATAAAGGGCATGCTAGTCATTTAATGATTTGAAGTTCTCCAATACTTTTAGAAAGTTATGATGCTGTTATTACTTTTTAAGGAATTCAATCCACCCAGAGGGATTAATTGGTTTAATCAAGGGTTAAAATCTATCCTGACCTATAACTTCCAACTGGAATCAGAACCACTGGTGGAAGAACCCAGGCAATGTATGAATTTAAGCTTCATGTAAATGGTGATCAGACTGAATGGGTACAAACTGGATCGGTTCATAATAGAGTTAGTTTCTTTGACTGGTAGAATACACTAAGGGCCGGATCTATCAAAGGTTTGCGTGTATAAAAACGTGAGCTATTTCACTGCGCACGCTAAAAAATTTACAAACTGATCTATCAACAGCGTGCTAAAAGGATTTGATCTTTTAAACGTGCTAAATAGCGCCTCTTATCCATTTAGTACTTTTTCTGCAATGAATATGCAATATGGGGCGTTTACACGCAAAAGTGCGTCTTGTGGGAGGAGAACATGTAAATATATTAATTTAGCACTCGCAAAGTGATTTATCAAACCTGAAAGCAATTTTGCTAACGGTATCTGACTATATTTAACACGTTTCAAAAGAAGGTGCAAATGGTCTATATACGTAATTGCGCACACATGGCAGCGGTTATTGGGCCGGATTTATCAAGATCCAATTTTGCGTGCAGTAATTTGCGCTCGCAAAGTGGAATTTTGCGCGAGGGGCTGAACCATGGTTTGCGGGTGATTTAACAAGAGCGATTGCGTAACTGGTGGCAGGTGCAAAACTGTTGGAGACGCCCTATTTAAATGATGGTTTTGCGCGTTTTGTGGTTTGCGGCAAAGTAGTTTGTAGTTTGTGCAAACTAGTGCATTAAGAAATTTTAATCTTACAGTGACACCACCCCCTCCAAAAAAAAAGAAATATATATATATATATATATATATATATATATATATATATATATATATATATATATATATAAACTTTGGCAACCTTTATTCCCTAAGGTGGTATGTGGCTGAATTTCTACTTCACCGCAGTAAGAAAAAAACAAACAAACAAAAAAAAAAAACAGGTGTTTTGTATCGGCCTGTAGAAAAATGCACATAACAAATGGCTCACAAGAAGTGACTGTGGATAAGATGACTGCATTGGCATGTTGCTCCACAGGCGCAGGGTGTTGGGGTTCTCCGGTAGGGCGTCAGGGCGACATGGCATTTAGAACGTCGGACAGATTGGGAGATCCCAGCTCTCGCTGCAACCGTACGCTGGAATGACCCAGATGCAAAAAAGTGCAACGTTGCAAGGAGTTTCGTGATATCTGGTATTGCGTGGGTACTCCTTGTGGCTGGCTCCAAATCCATTCGGAGTTCCCCCAACAGCTCCAAAATGGCAATGCTGGATAAACGATATGTTTTGATGATCGTTTCCTCGTTCATTCCAAAAATATTCACACGGAGTGAAAAAATGCGTTCTCTGCGTCTCCTTGCTTCATTTCAATGTCTCCTTCTTGCGGCAATAACCGCTGCCATGTGTGCGCAATTACGCATACAGACCATTTGCACCTTCTTTTGAAACGTGTTAAATATAGAGTCAGATACCGTTAGCAAAATTGCTTTCAGGTTTGATAAATCACTTTGCGAGTGCTAAATTAATATATTTACATGTTCTCCTCCCACAAGACGCACTTTTGCGTGTAAACGCCCTATATTGAATATTCATTGCAGAAAAAGTACTAAATGGATAAGAGACGCTATTTAGCACGTTTTAAAGACCAAATCCTTTTAGCACGCTGTTGATAGATCAGTTTGTACATTTTTTAGCGTGCGCAGTGAAATAGCTCACGTTTTAATACACGCAAACCTTTGATAAATCCGGCCCATTGTCGCAAGAAGGAGACATCGAAATGAAGCAAGGAGACGCAGAGAACGCATTTTTTTCACTCCGTGTGAATGTTTTTGGAATGAATGAGGAAACGATCATCAAAACATATCGTTTATCCAGCATTGCCATTTTGGAGCTGTTGGGGGAACTCCGAATGGATTTGGAGCCAGCCACAAGGAGGACCCACGCAATACCAGATATCACAAAACTCCTTGAAACATTGCACTTTTTTGCATCTGGGATCTCCCAATCTCGTTTTTCAGAAGTGCTGTCCGACGTTCTAAATGCCCCCCCTGACGCCATATCGGAGAACCCCGACTTCCCACTTTTTTTTTTTTTTTTTTTTTTTTTTTTTTACTGCAGTGAAGTAGAAATTCAGCCACATACCACCTTAGGGAATAAAGGTTTTGGAGGGGGTGGGGGTGTTACTGTAAGATTAAAATTTCTTGATGCACTAGTTTGCACAAACTACAAACTACTTTGCGCAAAACCATCATTTAAATAGGGTGTCTCCAACAGTTTTGCACCTGCCACCAGTTACGCAATCGCTCTTGTTAAATCACCCGCAAACCATAGTTCAGCCCCTCGCGCAAAATTCCAGTTTGCGAGCGCAAATTACTGCACGCAAAATTGGATCTTGATAAATCCGGCCCTAAAAGTATTGGCAAAGTCAGCTGGGTAGCCTATGTATGGATGGGAAGTGGGGACTTAAAAGCTGATAACAATATTTTATGTTGTAACTATTATAGGGATGATAAAAAGTGTTTAAACAATTGCATTTTTTTATAATATATATTATATTGCTATGACTTAACACCACTGCTTCTAACAGAACAAACAACACAGTTTACTCATTATTACATAGTTAGGCTGGTACCTCAGGACACCAGAATCAGAAATACTTTAATAATCCCAGAGGGAAATTACTTTTGTTACACGCTCTAGTTACAGTTTTACATGATATATACACACATCCAACTATACAATATAATAAAGATAAAAAATAAGAATAAAAAGAGATAAAATATATATACACATATAGCTCTTTTATATATATATCTGTACGTACACCAGTTAAATTAGGCAGGGTTATTTTCTCGATTTACATCATATTTTTAATAATTGTGATATGTATTCCTGCTCTCATGGAAATATTTAAATAAAAATAGACAGTTAAGTAAAATAGTTAGTAAACATACTTTTTTACATAATAACACAATAATTGTCCGTTGTACCCTATGTAGGTCTAGATAACTCACTGGTTGGTATTGAAAAAATGGTTTCATATCCTTAACCAAATGGGTTCCTCTTTCTGCCCAGAGCTATCTTGCAGCAAACTTACAAGGTCAGTTTGGGGCCAATATTTAACCTGGAAGCAATTCCATCCCATACTCACCAATTATTTAAACGAGGGATCTTCAACGTTTTCCAGGCCAAGGACCCCCAAACTGATGGCGAGATGGAGGGGGGACCCCTAAATATATATATTGTCTGAAATTGTGTTATATCAAACTGGTCCTATAGTCACTCTATTACATATGAAGTAATTTAACGAACGTAATTTCACCCTTGGATTATTCAAGTATTTCTGATTCCTCATTGATGGGACAGGTGTTGTGAATGAAACGGTGCCCAGAGACTGAAAGACATCTTCTGCCTTCATTTATCTGTTTACTACAGTGCTGAATTTATTTTAATGTGGATTTAAAGACTTTTCAATTAATGGAAGCAATTGCAGGGGGGAATATTAAAAAAAAGTCTATTCAAGCAAAACTTTCACAACACCCCCATGCAGTACCTCCGTGGACCCCCTAGGGGTCACAGACCCCCCTGTTGAAGACGTCGGATTGAAAACGTTTCTCACCTGCATATAAATATTTACTTAGAAAATAAATAAAAATTCAGCAAGAATTTAAAGTGAAATCAGGATTGGAAAGTGGAGATAGGAAATGAAAGTTCCTTCTCAACCACAAACATCTGGATACAGATGACAGCAGTGCTGCTGTCGCCCCTTTGATGGGACACCCTCATTGATCTCTGTCAGTCTGGGTTACAAAAAGAGATCTTTTAAGAGGAAGCAAAACAAAGTATAGCCGATCTGCACACAAACTGAACAGTTCGACACAAATATTTATTACAACCACATCTATAAACACTTCCAAATTTCTCAGTTTTCTGAGGGTTATAATTTTACCAGATTAACACTCCACCTTGACAATTTAACCAGAACCAGTTAATACTTGATTTCAGGCTATGACAGAGGAGTAGGATGCTATCCAGTGTAGAAAAAGGAGATCTGATGTTTGCAGATTAGTATTTGAGAGTATCACATATGCGCAGCTTAAATGCTTTATTTGACCCCACATGATGTATGCAATAAAAAAAAATCTGATTAATATCCATGTGTGTTTATCAAGGAGGATGTTCCCCTTCCTGAGCTTCAACATCAGTGTTCTGGATCCATCGGCCCACTATAATGTCTATGTTGACGTGGTTCTGGCCGATCAGCACCACTGGAGGTACCAGGGAGGAAAATGGGTCCAATGTGGGAAAGCAGAGGGTAACATGCCAGGTAGGTTTCAAAGATTATATAAACTTGAGCCATATATGAAAACAGTAACCTGTCAATTTTATAAAACTAGATATTACTGGATTTTGTATTTATCTGAAAGCTTCAGGACAAGCATCGTTATCTAGTAAAAAATATATAATCTTTTCTAGCAGTTTCCCTGAACTTCTCAGCAAAATTAATGCATTTAATCCCACTTTCACCAAGAGCAGCATTAAAGTCATGCATAAATTATTTCACTACCACTTTAATCCAGGGATATGATATTATTTATTCTGAGACAGTGTTTCTTGCAAATCTGAATATTTTCCACTTTTTTTTAGGATAAAGTATGTATAAATATATATATATATATATATATATATATATATATATATATATATATATATATATATATATATATATATATATATATATATATATATATATATATATATACATTTTGCAAATATTTTTTTCTCAATTTAATCAAAGAATCTCATGAGAAACCATATTAATATAACTTTATACAAATAACTGCATCAGCACCTGTTAATAAGATACTTACCCGCCCTTGCAGCCAAAACTGATATGAAAAAAACTCAGAGTAATTTTCCTGAGCCCAGATGTTAAATTGTAGGTTAGATAACATGAGCTGGAATAAAACCCTTGTGTGACTCTTTGGAGAGCTGAGAAGTTTTCGTGTGTGCAACATGGAGGATCTCAAGGAAGTGGTTTGGGTAGCAGCACATCCTCAAGCAACAGAGGCGACAAGAACTTGCATCGTGATGCATAGGTTATTTCTTGTGGATGTTCTGGTGTTGCTTTAAGTCCTTTGCACACTTTTTGTTTGTTTGTTTGTTTTGGGCTTTGTGGATTTAACCATTTTACTGCAATTTAGCATGATCCTGATTTATTTCTCTTTCATTTTAAAGAAGCAGAAAATGGGTTAGGTGTGTTTTTTTAAAAGGACAATTACCTAACTGTTATATATATATATGTTATATATATATCTGGGAAAATAAGTCACATTAAGTTTTCCACTCTAGCCCATAGACATCACTGTAACCTGGACAATTGATTAATTATACAATTAAGCAGTCATTATATACTTTTGTACATACACTGCCTAGCTAAAGTGTTCATATTTTTTTACGTTTCTGCACATCATGAAAGCACCATCTCCACTGTGGCACATGGTGGTGGCAGCATCATGATCTGGGGAGGGTAATGTTCAACAGGGGAAATGATGGGCTAAATCAAATCAGATGAAGATATATAAAACGTATTCCCACCTACTTAACTTTTTTCACAGTTTGCCATGTTACACAGTTCAATGTATTCATTAGTTTTATGTCACCAACAGAAAGTGTTTCATGGCTTTGCCCACAAGTCTTACAGTTGTAGGTCTTTTGGGATATATATCAACCTCCTTGGATGCCAAGAAGGTGCAATTTTCTGTGCAGAATATCTGAAGCTCAGTTGATTTGGAAAAAGATCATCTCAAAACATTTACATTTTTAACTGTAGCAAGATATTCCAAACCAGATATAGGTCTGAACTTTAACTAGACCATTCTAAAACATGATAATTTTTTTAAACCAAGATTTTCCATGCAACTATCCTGCAACTTTTAGAACAATCTGTCTTTTAAAGGTCTAAAATAAATGATTTTAGAACTCAATCACATGCTGTGAATGATATTTAACCATCTGGTTCATGCTTGTTGGTGCAGAAATGCATCTAAAGTTGCAGGATCATGGCTCTTTTGTGCAGAAGTTTGGGACCCCTGATCCAAACCATTACAGTTCTGCTCGCTCTGCCTGAATGCAGATCAACTTAAGTCTTTTGCTGCCTCTAACAGATTTTCGTTCAGGATTTTCCTGATTTAAGCTCCATCTTCCCATCATCTTGGCCAGGCATGCTAAAGTCCAGTCCAGAGCTACTATCCTCCAACTCCAAATCAAATGAGTGGCTCATTACCGTGCCTCTGCTGAGCTAATTGAGGGATTTTGAGCCCTTAAATTCAGTTGTGTTAGAGAAGAGATACATCTAAAGTTACAATTTGGTAGCTCTTGAGGGCCGGAATTTAGAACCCATGTTCTAAGCCTATTTTCTCCGTCCATGCTAAAAAAAAACAGCATCCCCACAGCATCATGCTGTCACCAGGATCATCCTTTACAGTAAACAGTTATGTCAAACAAGCCCCTCTCTGAGGTAACCCTGGTTATTAATGAAACACAGAATGACGCTGCCACCCCCGTGTTTCACCAAGTGGATGGTATGTTACGAGTGAAGAAAAGTGTCACTCATCCAGGTAATATAGGGTTTTACGTAAAGAAAAAACAAGTCTATGTTTTGACTTATCTGCAGCAGTTTTGGTGCCTCATGAAATATTTGAAATCTGCTGAAAAAAACATTAAACACGGAAAAAAAGGTTTTGTCCTGACATCTGAAATGATCTCTGGTAACTCACCTTTTTAAAAGGTTTTTGGTCAGATGCAAAATGTAGGATATGAGTAAAACTATTGATACTTGATTTAATTGAATATCGTTGCTGCATTTATATCTCACACATCTCGATCTATCCTCCAGCGATTCACGTTTTTCATTTCACACCTGTGTAAAACACTTAAACATAAAAGTGAGTTTAACCAAGAATTGTTTTTTGTTTTTGCTCTATGATTGTTGATAGACCAAACCACAATTATCTAAATGAGAGGAACTTTAAGGTGTTGTCACACATCTGCCAGCTAGGGATAAGGTTCATGCTGATGTGCTAAAGTTGTGGAAACTGTGGTAAAGCAGCTTCTCTCAATTAGATTTAATAGTGCACTTCATGTGGTGCAAAATCAGGTTAGAAGGTCATTGTGGTGATGCTGTGAAAATTCACGCACTGCAGTTTGTATGAAATATCAAAGGTATTAAAAAATGCAGCAGCTACAGGCTGCAACCTTCATAATGGAGGTTATTTCCTTTTTTTATATTTTTATCATCTAAGAATGGCCTTTTCTGCATTGATAAAACAGTACAGATGGCTGAATGAAAAGTAACTATAAATTACATTTTATCATCTATGTATTTGTTATTACATCCGTTAAAAATGCAAAAACAAGCTGTCTGTTTTGAACCTTTTAAGCTATTTAACTAAAGTGTCTTATACAAATATTCCTACTCCTTAAAATTGTTCATAGTTTGTCTCAGTACAACAATTCTTACTGTATTGCAATTGTATTTTTTGACCTAGACATGCAACAAGCAGGACCTACCAAGAAGACCTGAATTATATCCCAGACAAAAGGACCTCCACTCAGAGAAGCTGACAGGAGGCCCACAGGGAATTATATTGGAGAGAATATAACTTCAGTTTAAGAATCTCTTGATAGCAGTAGGATTAGTCCTGCAGTCTTCAGATCTGGCCTTTATGGATATTTTAAGGAAGATATCAATTGCTAAACAAATCTATAAGAAATTTAAATCAAAGTTTGATCAAAGAAAGATTTTAAAAGAAATGAATATAAAGTATATTGGTCCAAATCCTAAATAGTATATGTACAGGAAAATCAACACTGCTTTTCCTAACAAACTAAACTAATAAACATGGTAGTGGCAGTATCATGCAAGCTTTTATTTGACAGGGTCAGGGAAGCTGGACCTTTGTTGGTCAAGATGTGCAAAGCGGATGTAGACACAACATAAAAAAGCTCCAGGTGTAATAGCAACTAACGATGCTTTTACAAAGAATGTACAAAAAAGTAAAAAAAAAAATAAAAAAAAATTGTTAAGCTTGTATAAGGTATACAAAACAGGAGCCTATCAGGTTACTGAATTAAAAAATTAAGAATAAAATATGTAGTAAACAGTTCCACTGAAAATAAATTGAAAACTAGAATTAAAAGACAGTGTATGGTGCTCTGTCTATTTAGTTTCAATAAAGTGGACATGAAAAGTGATATAGTTCTCGGGGTTTCTGGTTGCTCTCGGAGGTACGTTAAAACGGTTCTATGCAGTACATTTACACACAAAAGCCTTGCCCACCTACTATGCTAACTGCTAAGATGTCTTTTTCTCCCATATTACTTATATTTTGCATCATAAGCTCCACTTTTCTTATATCATGTCCTCACCTTCCAAACACAGCAGGAAAGTTATGCTGCTCCATCGTGCAGCATGGCTACATGATCGCTATTCAGGAGTTTACTAGTGTTTATATTTGCAAACAGAACAGCATGAAGTCCATTCTACATCCTTGACACCATTAATCAACGTAAATGATTACAGACCGAAACTGGATCGATTGATGATTCTGCTGTACTCTTTAATTACTTTAGCAAATGAATAACTTTAATAGCAAATCTGCAAATAGCTAATTTAATAGCTCTGCTAAAGAACTAATAGTGGCACCCTCTATTGGAACATTATAACATTAAAAGGAATTCCTTTTAAGTGAAAAACTATTAATTAATCTGATACAGCCAATTTTGACCTAATAAAACATTACATGACAACTAATTGTAGGTTTAGTATTTGTTTGCCTCCATACCTCCATACAAAGATAAACAAACGGGAAAAGGTTCAATTGATATGAATACTTTTATAAGACGCTGTCCCTGATTACCTACTTTTGTGATTGCAGGGAACAGGATGTACATGCATCCCGACTCTCCTAACTCAGGGGCTCATTGGATGAGACAAGAAGTGTCGTTCAGCAAACTCAAGCTCACCAACAACAAAGGCAGCAACAACAATGTGGCACAGGTATCCCTGCCTTCTTTTTTTCCTAAATTCCATCTCATAAATCCAAGAGTTAATTGCAATACTTTTTATTTATTAATTTGAGCTTTTTGCTATGCATGAATATTATCTAGCCATCACATGTAGTTAAAATCCCAAAGTTATTTTGTAAAAGTGCTCAATTAACACCGGAATTTTCTATCAAGGTTATGTGTGTTTATTCTGTTTTTGCCTTTAGATGATTGTGCTTCAGTCGTTACACAAGTACCAACCGCGTCTTCACATTGTGGAGGTGAAGGAGGATGGCTCAGAGGATCCCTTCCTGTCCTCAAAAGCTCAGACGTTTGTCTTTTCAGAGACGCAGTTCATCGCTGTCACTGCGTATCAGAATGCAGACGTAAGATTTTTATACTTACTGCTCATTTTGGTTTCATTAATTGCTTATTTTAGTTTTTGTTAAAGTCCATGCATGGTTCTGATTCCTGCATACATTCATGCAGTACTGTGAAAAAGTATTTGCACCCATTCAGATTTTTTTTTCTCACACTCAAATTTTCAACATCAAACAAATATTTAATTTATTCATAGAATGAGGTATCAATTCTTACCTGACCCAATGTTAAAAAGTAAATGTCCCCTGAACATTAGACTGCTTTTTCTGTGCTGTGGAGGAAATGTTGTGGTGTTTTTGCAGAAATGAGCCACACTGGAGGGTTGCTGAGCAAAAACGAGCTGATTAAAGTCATGATTAAAGTAAAAACTTTAGCTAGGTAATTCCAAAACCATTATTTTTAGCTTTTCAGTGGTCGACTTGCTAGTGTGCTTTTTGATCAGTCTCAGATGCAACACTTTTTAAGGTTACAAATTGTCGAAATCATGGTTTCATTCAATATAAGTTGTGTCCTTAAGCAGTGAAACAGTCACAGACCATCACTTTTCTACCACTATATTTTAATTCTAATAATTATTAGCTATATTTGTTTTTTGGCATGAAAAACTTGAAGTGCATTGAAGCTTTCTGGGGGAACCATTTCTGGCTGGTCTCATTTAGATGCTGGTTGTTGTGGTTAATGCTCACCAGGCTGGGTTCTTCCTGCACTTTTAATGCAGGCTCTTTATTTAATCCTTATATTATGTAGCAAAAATCTAATCTTATCTGCAATTTTTGAGTAATTTTGTTGGGATAGCCATTACTCACCACATTCTCCTGTGTTTCATGTTTTCTACATTTGTGGATAACAACACTTACAGTAGTAGCCATTAAATGGTCCCTCCCAGTCAAACCCCAGCCGAATGGAAGCCCACTTCCCTCCAACTCATAGCAAAATCCCCTCCAACTTCCAGCCACTGGAGTGACCCCCCTCTTGCATTTTTTTTTTAATCTGACTCCACACTTTCATTGAATTATAAGGTCTGACCAGGAGATGACGCTTCTCTTTTGGTCTTATAATATTGATGTTTAAAAAGGAATTGTAGGGGAAAGTGGGGAAATTAATGCAGGCTCTATCTAGAGCCTTTATTTAATCCTTAAGTTATATAGTAATAGACTAATCGTATTAATTACTTTTAGCAAATAAAAAATGTGGACTTCTTATTTTTTTCCCCAGGAAAGGGTTAATTAAGGTTGCATTTTTCACTCAATAATGAATAATGCAATCATTATTTACTGGCAGAAGAAATCTGCAATGGGGTAAATACATTTTCTCTGTACTGCACATGTATATTTTGCAACTGGTGCAACACATGTAAAGCTTAGACTCACTGACTTTGGTTTTATTAACAGCTATATTGTCTAAAACTTTTCTATGCCTAGTATAGACACGGCATCGGTTCTGTAGGTGTAATTTCCCACTTTGTGGTTCAACTTTTTCCAGCATGTTGACATTATTAATTATTAGTCAGTGACCTCCTCTCTAACTGCTCTCTTGTTTCTTCGTGTTAGTTGCTCACTCCTTCTCTTTTTCCTATGCCCACATTCTCTCGGCTGCCCTCCTCCTGTTCCCTACACAGATCACTCAGCTGAAAATAGACCATAACCCCTTCGCTAAAGGTTTCCGAGACAATTACGACACGTAAGTAATTCACAAAATGCTTGTGTTTGTAAAGGGAAACCAGAATCCTTTTTTTTTTTTTTTTTTGCTCTGGATTAAGAACATAGTGTGAACTCGTCCTAAATAATTCAACTGGATCAGTGCTTCTGCTGAAATGCCCTGAGTGCTCATGTCGCTTTTTTAATATTAGAATAGATGCAATTACTGCTCTGCTGCTGAGCATGCTGCAGTGAAAGGGTGTGAGGGGCTGTGAGATGTTTGATAGTTGTTTGAGGTTTGGGCAGGAAATAACACCTTCTTCTTTTTCCTCTTCCTCTCACACTCTCTTCTCTTCCCCTCCTCCTCCCTCCTGCCTAGGCTCTACGCTCCTCCCGACTCTGATCGCCTCACTCCTTCCCCTACAGAAGGCCAGCAGTTGCTACCAGGGACCTGCTACACTCAGGGTTACCTCTCTGAACAGTACATTAGCCCCCTGCAACAGAGCCGCTTCTATGGTCGTGAACCCATCTCCATGGGCCAGCAGCACAAGGATCCATCCTCTAGCCCTGGACCTCACAGTCGCTGGTATCTCCCCCCACAGCAGAGTGTGCCTCCAAACCGGCTTGACTTCACTTCCTCCTACGAGGGAGACTTTTCTGGAAATGGTTTCTACAAGCCATTTCCCCTTCAGACGTCTGCTCACCATGCGTTCAGCTACTACCCAGAGCATCCTTTTGCATCAAGCAGCGTGTCCGTATCAGCCGGTTCAGCTGGATGGAGCACAAGCAGGCCCACCCCACAGTATCCCAGCAAACCCACCCCCAGTCTGAGCTGGTTAAGACCCATTTCATCATCCTCTTCCTCCTCATCATCTTCCACACCCCCTGGCACCAGGCTGCACCCCCACTCCCTCCTGGAACCCCTGCAGCCACCTCTGCTGCAGGAAAAGCCAAAAGACTCTGCAGGAGCTGCAGCGGAGGACCCCTGGCTCGAGCCACCCTCCACCAAATCAGCAGACTCGGCCGATTCGGGCCTGTATGAGGGGAACAAGAAGAGGAGGGTGTCTCGCTACACGTCCAGCACTGAAAACTCCCCACCTCCATGTGCCGGGGAGGTCTGTGAAAAAGACAACAGCAGCGATCCAGACTACTATGGTTATTACACCCACTGAGGGCATGACATTCTGTTGCAAACATTTCCAAACGCCCTCTCACAGCGCCCTGAGTATGCAGAGGCTGTTAGGGCATGATGAAGAGCTAAAACAGTCCAACCAGAACAACATGACGTAAACCCTCACAGTGAAGACTTCCACACCACAAAGTTTCATCTCACAAGTGTCAAATGATCACAGGAGAAACTCCGAAGTACAGTGACAAAGCGAATAAAGGTGGATGTGACTGGAACTCTGGCCTAAAGTCACATAAACACCAAACAGATGTACAGAGGTGTGACTTCAGTCTTTGGAACATCTGGAGATTCTAGAAAAAGAAATAAACATCTGCATATCTGCCTGCTGACAGATGCCTGCAGGGATTGTCTGTTCTTTGTGCATCAAACACTGTCTGGCTGCTTTGCCATCTTTCGTCTGCGTCTTTCTTCGCACCCACAACCATTCAGACCTTTCCTCCCTGTGTGTTCATGTTCATTTTCCAGTAAGGTTCTGTGCAGAAACTGGTTAGTTAAAAAAAACCTCTGTCATCTAAAAATTCAGACTCACATTAAAAGATTCAGTTCCTACTTGTGGTGCTAGAGGAGCATTGCAAGCAGTCGGTGCACAGATCAGACCAGTTTCTGTGTCCTTAATGTGGTTGGTAAAGGCAGAATAAGATAAGCAGACATCTGGAAGTTATCTAACGTATGTCAGTGACCATTCATGCACAATGTTTATTCACACACCTGAGTTTGAAACAAAGGCAGGATCAGCACCTTGCAAATTTCTTCAGCAAAGTTTTCTAATTGTCCTTTTGGGGCCACTAAGGGATTCTGTTAAGAGCAGCACAAAATAGTGAGTTGTATTTTAGTTTAAAAACTATTTTACAATAATTGTTTTTAATTTTACGAAAAATCTGAATGGTGTGGCATGCTTTTTTCCTCAAAAACTTGCAGAGTGAAAAAAAGAATTCATGCATCTTTTGCATCTTCTTGAGCATATTTAGTTGTAACTAAATATGCATAAGTAGATGCAAAAGATGCATGCATTTTTTTTTACTTTAGAGCCAACTGAAATTATGTCTGTGTTCAGGATGTGCATCAAGGGAGTGAAATCCTTGCCCATTATTCTGTGCAAAAGCATCTTAATTTTCAAGTCTTGTCTAAAATCTCTTCATTAGATTTAATTCTTAGCCATTCTTCACTGAAAAGGTGAACCCCTGCCACGCGTCTAAAGTCTTTTGCAGCATGATGCCGCCACAATAGTTTTTCACAGAGGTGGTGGTGTGTTCAGGATGCCAAGTTTGCAGCTTCACCGACTGTTTTGCATGAAGTGAAATTTCATGCAAAGTGAAATTTTATATGATTGTGTCCAACCAGTGGACCTTCTCTAGACCAGCAGATCTTCTTTAGATCAGTGGATCTTCAATTGTGCTGTTCTTCTTACCACATTGACGCCAGGTTTGCTGATTGTTCAACTGATAGCTCTACTGCAAGTCATTCACAGCAATCAATTTCTTCCTTGCTACTTTTCTGATTAATGCTCCTCTTGCACAGCCTGTCTTGGTAGGCTTACACTTGTTCCTCACTGTTTTTTAGATGACAGAGTAAGAATTGCTCTTTAAGACACCAAAAATTAAGGTATTGCTTTAAACTTAATGACTTAAACTTCTTAATTTATTTATCCCAGACCTGTCCGCTGTGTTCCTTTATGCTTCTTTTGCTGCATCAGAGTAAAAGATCAAAGTTGTTGGCTAAAAAGTAATTCAGATGTATTTTAGTTCTTTAAAAACGCATCCAAAAAGAAGAACACACACAGGGTTTCTCGTGCACAATCCAAATATTCTGACCTTAACAGCTAGTAGGTATGAAAAAGCTCCTGCCATCAAACAAATAAAACCCCAGTCAATATGATGCCCTGTAACTACAAAGCAGTACCATCAAGGGAAGCAGACAATCTTTAAAAGCACAGAGAGAAGGTAAAACTTCTGCAGATCAGTAGATAGCGGGCTGTGGAGGACACCCCCGTACAACTGTATTAAACTGACGAGGCTCTGTCAGCCTCAGACCACAATAAACAGGAAGCACAAAGTGACCAGACCGACACTCTATATTTCCCCCCTGGTCTCAGGACCCATCATGTGGTGACGCTGGTTGACAGAGACCCGGCTCGCAGCGTGGTGACAGAAATAAAGAGTGAGGCTAAAGTCGGGGCTAATCAGAGATCTGCTCCTCACTCCTCACCAGGTGTGCTAACCGCCTCAGACAACACCGGAGGCGACAGGAAGGCAGCTAGTGCCACCTATCAGGAAACGTCAGGGTTTACTGAGCACGCTCAAATTATTTACAGATGTATAACATACCTGTATGTTAGTTAAATTTTAATGTTACAATACCATGTTTACGTTTTCCCTTAATATAAGTTTCACAATAAATATTCGAACCCATTTCTAATACAATGTCGATAAGAGCAAAGGAGGTTACTTCAATACAGCCTACATACCCTACATAAGTAAATAAACATTATCTAAACAAGTTTAACCCATTTAGTTATTAAGCAACTGTTTTAGTGTCCAGTTTGATCAAAATAGCACAATTAAAGTTGCTTTTACTAAAAAAAAAGCTACAACTCCCTCTTGGTGTGGAATTAGTCTAAGCTAACTAGCATTAGCTTTTGCATTATTTATTTGTTGCTGTAGCTGTTTCTAATTATGTGAATGCTATGACACCGCAACTTGTTACAAATAAAGCCATTTTCTTTTAACATCGCATGGAACAGACAAGATACAAACATAATTTATGAGAAACACCGTTAAGAGTTATCCTAATAAAACTGAAGTCACTTATAGGGACAAAAAGTTACTGTTACTATTTTTAACTTTGCAAGCACAGACTGTGAAGCTTTTCAATAGGATTTTATACAGGGTAGGCAACATGATATACTGTTTTTATTATTTTTGTTAATAAAAATCTAAAAAGTATTACATGCATATGATTACAGCTGCTTTTACTAGAGCCATTTTTTCATGCAGTTACAGCTTCCAGTTTATGGAATCAACAGTTGGTATTTGGTTTTATTGTACTCAAAGAAAAGCAATGCATCCAACTCCTGAAAGGAAAGTTTGATTCTGAAATCCAGGCTTTGTTGTTCTGAATTTTAAAGGAATCCATACAGACACAAAGGCATGATAATCTATTTAACAGTAAAAAGGTGCTGAAAACAGAGCAGATTTAAAATAAAAATGTATTTTTTTCCTGTTTTACATTTCTAAAAGGTGTTGTTTTTTTTTATTTGATATATTCATGCTTGTTGAATGACTCTTGGGTAATATTGATGTATTTTTTCATGTTTTAAGAGCAATTAAAAGTTTTAAACGAGTTGAAGGTAAGGGTGCTTTTGCAGAATTAAAGGGAGAAAAGTGTCAAAGGATCGCTGGCCTGCAGATATATCACTTTATTTTTTGTTTTCCTATAGTCTCTGTGGTATACAGATGACATTTCAAATCCCACATTAAACAGCTGCATGAAAAATGCTGTGAGATACCTCAGGAAGGACCTTGTTAAATTTTACCCAGTGAACCAAAATCTCCAGTGTTAACCTGCTTGTCTCTTTAATGTTCCCATTGTTTTCTCCTGTGGCACATTTCCCTCCTAAAAAAATAGATCTGCATTTCTGGAGATTTTGATGTATAATTTAAACAAAAACGACAAAAAAGATAGAGAATGAGGAAGGGAAGCTGCACAGGTAAAAACAACAAATGTTCATCTTTGTGTGTGATTGGTTTGTGCTGTTTAGGAAGAAGTTATTGTCCCTTTACTCATGAAAAGTTGACAGATTACAACCAGCATTTAAATAACAGTGGAGATTTGTCAAGGAGGAAAAAAAACAAACTTATTTATTTAACATGGCATATGTGTATATTTGTTTTTTATTCATGAAAATAAAGCTTTCACGTCTCAAAGTGTGTTTTGTTTGCTGTTTTGATAGAAAATAAAGAAAAGCACTGATGTCTTGTGCAAAAAAGATTTCCCTGCTGCATAACTTCTGGAAAACAAAGCCACTGTTTGCCTCGTCCCCTAAGCCTGGAGGATGAGGGTGAAGCTAACCACAGTTTTGGCCAAACTGCTCAGAACGGTAAGCAGGGTGAGTGCTCAAACAATTGTAGTACCATTTTAGAGGAGAATGTAATACTTAAAAAGAAACTTATTGATACTGAGGAGGCCCAGGATGCTTGCAGGAGCCTTAACCCCATATAATTGGTGGGTGATTAGGGTGGCTCCATTAATGAGTCAAGCTCATCATCAAGGATGATTATTCCCTTCTTCTTCTTATGGTAACAAGCAATGCATATTGCTCAAAACCACCAAGAAGTACTTGAGACTGTAGAAAAGGTTGCAGGAAGGATTGAGGCCCACTAACAAATACGGACAACACAGTCTCCAGGGTGAACAGAGTGAGCATTTTTGCTCTCTTTCACAGCAGCCAGGAGCAGTGGCTCAGACCCCTGGCTCTTCTTGGACGCCAGCAAGAAGTAAGTCCACCTTGTCTTAAAGGAATAGTACACCCAAAACATGATTAGCCTTCATTTTCTACTCACCCCCATGCTGAACAACACTCTGGAGTACTTTTTTGATATCTCAAATGCATCTGGAGATCTGGGAAGCTTCTTGCTGTCTGCTGACATTCAAATAATGGAGGTCTATGGTGTCCGAGACAGAAAGGTCCATAAAAGTAAAAAAAAAACATGTCAATATTCCTCCATACTGCTCGTCCAATGTATTCCAAGTGTCCTGAGTGGGTAGCATCCAGAATTTACTCGAAACTAAGTCATTTAGAATGTTTTTAGAGCATAAACAGTAGTGTATAGGATTTCCTGAAAGCGCGCGCCTGCGAGTTCACGACGCTACGGAAACCGCGGCAGACCAAACCAGATAAAAGTGCGAATTCAGCTCGGCAAAGAACTCATGCTCTTCCTCAACACTGAAGTCCTCAGACATTTTTCTTTCGTTGTTTCTTTCTTTGCACAGGTAAACAGCACATTTCTTCTTCTACGCTTGCATTATCGGCAGAGCAGACGCTGAATGCGCACTTTCATCTGGTTTGGTCTGCCGGCTTCCGTAGCGTCGTGAACGCGCAGGCGCGCGCTTTCAGGAAATCCTATACACTACTGTTTATGCTCTAAAAACATTCTAAATGACTTTGTTTCGAGTAAATTCTGGATGCTACCCACTCAGGACACTTGGAATACATTGGACGAGCAGTATGGAGGAATATTGACACGTTTTTGTGGACTTTTATGGACCTTTCTGTCTCGGGCACCATAGACCTCCATTATTTGAATTTCAGCAGACAGCAAGAAGCCTCCCAGATCTCCAGATGCATTTGAGATATCAAAAAAGTACTCCAGAGTGTTGTTCAGCATGGGGGTGAGTAGAAAATGAAGGCTAATCATGTTTTGGGTGTACTATTCCTTTAAAAGAACTTCTGTGATATACCTAAATCCGTCCCAAGATTCAGGATACAAATGGCTGAAATGAGCTTTCTCTGCAGGGCTTCTGGGCACTCCTTTAGAGACAGCCTGATAGGGTCATTTGGTGGGGGCTCAGAGTATATCCATTTCTCCTTCACATCAAGAGGAGCCAGTTGAGGTGGCTTGACATCTTTGTCTGATGTCCCCATGACACCTCCCACAGGAGGTGTTCCAGGCAGGCCCCAAAGCTAAGGGGACGAGGAACTCTATCTCTTGGCTGACCTAGGAGCCCCTCAGGCTTCTCCTAAAGGAGCTGGAGGAGGTGTCTGGGATGAGGGAAGTCTGGAAGTCTCTTCTGAGACTTCTGCCCCATGACCCGGCCCTGAATGAAGTGGAAGATGATGAGTATGAATATGTTTCTTTTTAGTCACTGGCAGAAGGAGCACAGGCCTAACAGACCAGAGAAAACACATCACCATTGTGGTTTGTTACCTGTTAAACATTAATCAGTATCTGAAGAACATGAAGGACGCTCCTCTGGCAAATTGGGAACTGTCACAATTCCAGTTTTTCAGGGTGATCTAAGCGATTTAAAAATACTTGTAGAAAGAAAAAAAAAGAGCAGTCCAGCCATTAGACCAAAATCAAGAGGATTTCAGTTAGTAAATCGGATAAGATTTGGATACAATATTAACAAGATTTATGCATTGACTAATCTTAAAGAAATCTTTCAAAAATCATAGAATTATGCATCCATACAGATGAAGCATTCTACAGATTATGATAAAAATGAATTCACAAAAGTGAAAGTAATATATTGTTTTGTGTTGATGAAGATTCCCTGTTAAACCAGTCATATGAGAACTGAAGCAGCACTGTCTCCGCTTCATCACAGCGAGTCATTTATGCTGTTCAAACTATCAAAAACTGGGGATTTCCAGGCTTTCTCCTTAGCACGTCGTCTTGTGCATGTTGCTGAGGTCGCCTTCCATCACCACAGAGTTATGTTTTCAAGATTAGAAAAACCTGGATCCTCCCTGAGCTCCCAGTAAGTGCCATTGGACAGCCACACATCCCTTCCACTGGAGTCTTTGGCTCTCCTGGAGATAGAAAAAGGAGGGGATTAATCATTTGCTTGCAGACAGTTGTTTGTGGTAACAACTGCAAAAAGATATTTGTATTTTTTAACCATGGTTTAACCACTTTACACCTCTAATATGCTCTTCTGTTATCTAGGTAGGATCTCTTTGGGGGCTAAGGCGGTCAAAAGGTTTTAATTGAGAATTTGTCTACAGTACAGTTCCCTTACTAGTAGTAGGTAGATTTTATGTGTAGTGAGATTGAAGAAAACTGAATTCAGTCAATTTAGGCATTGAAAAGAGCAAAATCTTTATTTATTCAAACACCCTAAGTGTTTGAAGCTGTTTTAAGCTGTTTTGATTGTTTTTAAAGGCCAAGATTAAACACATTAAAATGTATTATGTAATAAATGCAGATCAGACAGTGAAAACTGAAACAAACTATGTTCTTAGTACATCGTCTAAAATATCTAAGACTAAAGCTAAATTCACAGCCCAAGCATGTATTCATTTATGCTTTGAAAGTGAATTTAAACTGATATGCATCATGTTTTTAATTTTAATATTGATTTTAATGAGAGGCTGCTCGGTGTGCAGTAGGTAGCACTGCTGCCTTGCAGCAAGAAGGTTCCAGGTTAAATTTCCATTCCAGGTTCTTTCTGCATGGAGTTTGCATGTTCTCCCTGTGCATGCATGGGTTCTCTCCGGGTACTCGGGCTTCCTCCCACAGTCAAAAAACATGACTATTAGGTTAATTGGCTTCTTTAAATTCTCCTTAGTTGTAAGCGCGTATGGTTGTTTGTCCTGTTTATCTCTCTGTTGCCCTGCAATAAACTGGTGACCTGTCCAGTGTGTACCCTCTTGCCCATTGACGGCTGGTACCAGCACCTCTTGCAGCATGACAGAGAATGGACAGATTTTAATAAGTGTATGCAGGTTATTTAAATCTGTTTATATCAATTTTATTATCTTTGATAACATGAAGCAGGTTTCACATGGTTTAATCTTGAGGTGCCTAAAACCAGTGGCGGCTGGTGAAAAATATTTTTGGTGGGGCTGATATAGCCTAGTGTATGTCTCCAACTAATCCGGAATAAGAATTCAAATAAACAATTGGACAATACATACAATTTAACAGTAATGATTTAATTTACTATATAATAACAGTAACAGTGATGATTTGGGTCACTGTGACGGGGTTCTTTGGCCTCCAAGAATCCAGTCTCAGTCGGGTTACCGGTGTTGGTGATTTATTGAGCTCAAAAACTCAAAACAGGGTGCAAAAGAAACTAAACATACAAGATACTCTGGGCCTCAGCCTCCCTCCAGTTACCAGCAATGTAACAAAGAAACAGAAAACAAAAATTGCCGCTTTTCTTCCCACAGCCCTCATTAAATAGTTTAAGCCCCTCACATCAGGCTCTCTTATTTGTGATTTCTTCTCATTAATCAGTTTTGTCCATATATTACCTCCACAAACAATTGATGTAAAACAAAACAAATAATTTTTACAACTTAATTCTTTTACACAGATTCATTGACTTATTCAATTACACCAAACGGGGTTTGAACCCAGCAAAGACGCAGCCAGACTGAAGATGACAAGTCCCCATAGCATAAACACGTACACCCCCCCCCCCCCCCCCACACACACACACACACACACACACACCAACACACACACACACACACACACACACGGCTAACCCCACTGAAATATTAAGTGTGCACCCTCAATATGCCAGCAGGTAACCAGGAACAGCTTGTGTGTTTTAAGTTCATGGAGCTACTGGTCTCAGCGCGAGTGTATTGGTCCTCACAAACACAGTATAACAGGAATGTGTGTGTGTGGTGCGCAAAGTTAGAGAGGTTGTTTTAAGCGACGAGGTGGATTCGTCACAGTCACAATAACCATGACATGAAATGTTCATATCCTACAACAGGGATATTCTTCTGGCAAACGGGTAGATAAATAAGGATCTCACCGAATTTGGTGGAAGCTGCATCTCGGTCGTTACATTCGCCATCTTCCCTCTAACTGTCTGCACCTGCGCTTGGGTTCAGAAGCCTGTTAAAGCGCAGTATTTTCAGCGCCCCAATACCATAAAGTTCCGAGACGCTGATTGGCCATTAAATTCACCTAGCAATAGTACATGATTGACAGATTCTCTGCAAATGTGGGTCAGTCTGATCAACGCCCCCAGAACAGAGACGGTAGGAGTCTGTCTGTGGAAATCCACAAATTAATGACAGTAGATAGGGAAATGTAGTTTATATAATTTGTTTTGCTTATAGGTACACAGTCTAGAGAGTAAAACTGACATTTATGAGTTAATTTCTAAAAATATATTTTACGTTTCTCTCTTCTTATCAGGGAGGGCGGTGCCCCAGCGCCCCCTATGGGCCGGCCGCCACTGCCTAAAACCCACATAAATAAACGTAACAGTTATTTGGAAACTAAATTAGATAAAGTAAAGCCAGACAGTCTTGATCAAAATTAAGTTATGTACCTACGCCTGGCTTCAGAGTAGGAGGGTGGAAACTAAACAGTTTCCACATAGCACAGAGTTGTTGTCATTGATGTTTTTAACAGGGGCTGTGATGTGTAAGAAGAATATGAAAACCAACACAGGTAAACCTGGACCACTATGCCTCAGGAGATTACGTCTCTCCAAATTCCCAATTCCAAGGTAAATAGAACATAACTCTTAATATTATTATTTAAGAATAAAACCTGTTGCTTTTTGTATATGAGTAATGATTAAAATAGTTTTAACTGTAAGTTTTTTTATCACTTGTTTTCATAAAAATAAAAACCCCGGAGTTCATTCTAGATATTTTCCAGAGGTTTAACCAAACAAATTTTGTGCATATTTGGCCTAAACTCACCTGAAAAAACGTGGAACGTGCTCTTCACCCCTCTTCATGAGCTGTTTTCTTCGCTCTCTTTGAATTTCCTCAACATCGTCTTTCTTCTTATCTGCCTCAGCAACTTTCCCCTCCTCCAATAGTCTGCAAAACCAATGAGAGAAAATTACCATAAAACCATTAAACTGCACATTTTATTATTGGATGCTTTTATATTTCACAAAATACAGCAGCACCCATTTCAAACGATGAATTGCTTTATTCATCATAAAAAAGGTATCTAAACAAAAAAGGTCCTGTATGGAAAAAGTGCTCCTCCCACTTCTTAAACCCCTGAATCAGCTGTGATTAACCACATCCTTTGGAAAGGGAAGTCAATACCCACATCTGCATGCTCTTTACAATCATAGGGTATTGCTATTTTAACTGCAGCTCTAGAGGTGAGTTTAACATTCTTAAAATGTGACATCTAGGCAAATTTGCACCCATTAGTGATGTGCCTTGTGCCATTTTATTGTTTTTTAGGGGGCAGGGTTCCCCAGAATCAGAATCAGAAATACTTTAATAATCCCAGAGGGAAATTACTTTTGTTACACGCTCCAGTTACAGTATATATATATATATATATATATATATATATATATATACACTATATTGCCAAAAGTATTTGCTCACCTGCCTTGACTCACATATGAGCTTAAGTGACATCCCGTTCCTAATCCATAGGGTTCAATATGACGTCGGTCCACCCTTTGCAGCTAGAACAGCTTCAACTCTTCTGGGAAGGCTGTCCACAAGGTTTAGGAGTGTGTTTATGGGAATTTTTGACCATTCTTCCAGAAGCGCATTTGTGAGGTCGCACACTGATGTTGGACGAGAAGGCCTGGCTCTCAGTCTCCGCTCTAATTCATCCCAAAGGTGTTCTATCGGGTTGAGGTCAGGACTCTGTGCAGGCCAGTCAAGTTCATCCACACCAGACTCTGTCATCCATGTCTTTATGGACCTTGCTTTGTGCACTGGTGCACAGTCATGTTGGAAGAGGAAGGGGCCAGCTCCAAACTGTTCCCACAAAGTTGGGAGCATGGAATTGTCCAAAATGTCTTGGTATGCTGAAGCATTCAGAGTTCCTTTCCTTGGAACTAAGGGGCCAAGCCCAGCTCCTGAAAAACAACCTCACACCATAATCCCCCCTCCACCAAACTTTACACTTGGCACAATGCAGTCAGACAAGTACCGTTCTCCTGGCAACCGCCAAACCCAGACCCGTCCATCAGATTGCCAGATGGAGAAGCGCGATTCGTCACTCCAGAGAACGCGTCTCCACTGCTCTAGAGTCCAGTGGCGGCGTGCTTTACACCACCGCATCCGACGCTTTGCATTGCACTTGGTGATGTATGGCTTGGATGCAGCTGCTCGACCATGGAAACCCATTCCATGAAGCTCTCTGCGCACTGTTCTTGAGCTAATCTGAAGGCCACATGAAGTTTGGAGGTCTGTAGTGATTGACTCTGCAGAAAGTTGGCGACCTCTTCGCACTATGCGCGTCAGCATCCGCTGACCCCGCTCCGTCAGTTTACGTGGCCTACCACTTCGTGGCTGAGTTGCTGTCGTTCCCAAACACTTCCATTTTCTTATAATACAGCTGACAGTTGACTGTGGAATATTTAGGAGCGAGGAAATTTCACGACTGGATTTGTTGCACAGGTGGCATCCTATCACAGTTCCACGCTGGAATTCACTGAGCTCCTGAGAGCGACCCATTCTTTCACAAATGTTTGTAAAAACAGTCTGCATGCCTAGGTGCTTGAATTTATACACCTGTGGCCATGGAAGTGATTGGAACACCTGATTCCAATAATTTGGATGGGTGAGCAAATACTTTTGGCAATATAGTGTATATATATATATATATATATATATATATATATATATATACACACATCCAACTACACAAGATAACAAAGATAAAAATAAAAATAAAGAACTTAAAAATATATACACATATAGCTCTTCTGTATATCTATATATATGTATGTATATATGCATATGTAAAACTAAATCCAAGTAAAGTGATAGGTGGCGTGCTAAAATAGTGCATAAATGTCAATTACAGAGGGGAGATGTCTGAATCACTTGAGGGAGGCGTTATAGAGATTGATGACCATAGGTAGGAAGGATTTCCTGTGGTGCATCTGGGTAGGAGGAGTCTTCTGCTGAAGGAGCTCGTCTGCTGGACCAGTGTGTCATGGAGAGGATGTGAGTCATTGTCTAAGATGGACTGAAACCTGGACAGCATCCTCCTCTCTGCCACGCTCGTCAGAGTGTCCAGTTGCTCCCGCACAACATCGCCAGGCCCTCCTGATCAGTTTGTTCAGTCTATTGTTATCAGTGACCCTCAGCCCACTGCCCCAGCATGTGACAGCAAAGAAGAGCGTGCTAGCAACAACTGACTCATAAAACATCCTCAGCATCGTCCCACAGGGGCGTTAAAGGACTTCAGTCTCCTCAGGAAGAATAGTCAGTTTGGCCCTTTTGTAGACCGCCTCGGTGTTTCTAGTCCAGTCAAACTTATTGTTAAAGTACACTCCCAGGTACCTATTCTCTTCCACAGTGTCAACAGGAACCCCCTGGATGGAAACAGTGGTCAAAGTTGTTTTTGTCCTCCTCAGATTCACTATTAGCTCCTTAGTCTTTGTCACATTGAGCTGTAGGTGGTTCAGCTCACTCCAAGTGACAAAGTTGCCCACCAGGGTCCTGTATTCACTTTCCTCACCCTTTTCAATGCAGCCAACAATTGCTGAGTCATCAGAAAATTTCTGAAGGTGGCAGGACTCAGAGCAATAGTTGAAGTCCGAGGTGAAAAGGGTGAAGAGGAAGGGGGAGAGGACAGTCCCCTGAGGGGCCCCAGTGTTGCTGACCACACTGTCAGACACAGTTCTGTAGGCGTACATACTGTGGTCTGCCCGTCAGGTAATCAACAATCCAGGACACGATGGGGGCCTCCTTAGTTGGTTGGCGGTACATTTGCATGTGTTTGATGTCTATAACATGATTTATTATATAGATATATATATATATATATATATATATATATATATATATACATCGTGTCCTGAATATATATATATATATATATATATATATATATATATATATATATATATATATATATATATATATATATATATATATATATATATATATATACTGTAATGACATGTTGAAATGGCCTACGGTTATAACCTGGCACCATAAACCTTTGCTTTGAAAATGTTAGTGAAATGTTATGTATTTTCTTTTTCCAGCTTTTATTGTCATTACACTGATATGTTTATTACTCAAGTAGAAGTATAAATCCTACTGTATAAAAACACTATTCTAGAAGTTAACCTTTCTGCACAAGTAAAAGTGTAGAAGTACCATTTTTAAAACTACTTAAAGTATAAAAGCAAAAGTAAACAGGAAAAAATGTTAAGGACAGAAGCTTTACTGCACTACCCTATTAAAGGAAAATTTTTCTATAACTCGATACTTGATAACTTCCTCATTCTTCATTTTCTTAGTTTTATGAATAACGGTCTTAAATATAACTTTGCATCATCAAGAGCGGGGATCCAGGTGGAGAAAGGGTCCCGTGGTTCTAAGAAATTGAAAAGCAGGTATAATTATTTTATTTTATTTTTTTTTTCGTTAAAAAACTATAAAATGTACTGTTATTTAAATTCTAACATGATTGAATATAAAGTCTTTTCAGTGAGTATGGCTCCATATGTAAGCAGCCATATGTGTCGAATTGGAGCTCCACTGATAATGGCTTTTCATACTTGTTACGCACATGTTCAACTTTGAGTGAACCTACTCAGAGTTAATTAAACTAACTCACAGCAGCTGTTGTGAAACTGAAAACTGAGTTTCCAACCTAAGGCTAGATCAATTTAGAATTTATTATTTCACTCTCAGTTTGTTAAACCTGCTTTGTGAAACGGGCCTCTTTACATAATTTTCAGATTTTTTTTTTTTTTTACTTTCTCTTTTCTTTCTCTAAATAAAGCATGTGAAATTATTTCTGACCTTTGGTCTGGGCGCAGGCGGGTGTCAGTAGAAGGAAGGAGAGGCTTCAGGTTTGGCGTCAGTTCATTCAGCTCCATGGCAAAAGAAGAAAAGCCGTAATACAGCAGGTAATCCTTTGGCTGAGGATCTGTGCAAGACAGAAGCTTTTCAGATGGACAAGCACAAACGTGACACTTGGATTTATGCTGATTAGTGGAGTTTGCAATTAGAAACTTCTAATCTGTTCAATTCCTCTTAGACCGTTAACATAGAAAGCAAACTCACTTTGTCCAGATTAACATCAACATGTGATACAAGCACCTTATTGCACTGCGTTTTATTATTGCTGAGTTAAATTGGACTTACGAGGCTTCCAGATGCATTTTGGTGTTGGTAGAGTATCACAGAAGATTCCTTCATGCCAAAGACCTCCAAACCGGTGAATCACATTACCACTTTGGTCAGTCACTGTTCCCTGAACTTCGTTCTTGTTTGAGTCTGAACCCCAGTAACGTGACTAAACAATCAGACAAACAAAGCACAGGTTTTATTTTTATGACTTAAAATTAACATTTCATTAGTAAAGGTAAAGCTGCTTCATTCACCTTGACAAAGGTGATCTTGCAGGTGCAGGTGTTGTTGGTCAGGTTTTGGATGGTCACCTCCCCATAATGCTCCAGATACCTCTGCTGGCTAAGGACATTGTGGATGCACGTCACCACTTTGTTCCACTCATAGTGATCACCATACCTATAAAAACATCCATAGTACAGCATAGTTGAAACAAATCTGAGGGATCAATCAATGCAGCAAATAATCCATGGTTGTAGATTCTCATTTCAGTAATTTGGTCCTTATTCTGGAACTACTGTTCCACCCCTGCTTATCTCACCACCTATGTTGGTATATTTAAGAATGGTCGTCTGTGGGTCTAAACATTAAGAAATTAAGCTGAAAGATAGACTCCCATCTATACACTTTGTTTAGGTGTAGTGCAGATGAAGGGTGTAAAACACAAACATTTCTGCAGCATGTTATATTTGCAAGGCTCACATTCAGACCTTTTTCAATATCACGAAAAAAAACGCAGTAACATGGCTTTTCAGCTCACATTGTAATTGTTCTATAGCACATTTTCAGCAGCGAGGCAATTCAAAGTGCTTTGCACCATAAAAGCATCAAATGAAATGTGCAGGAAAATTTTTTTGCAGTTTTCTGGGAGTTTGTTCCAGATTAAAAGGTACAAAAATCTGAAAACTGCTTCATCATGTTTGGCTCTGGAGATACAAAGTAGATTGGAACCAGAAGGCCTGGATGTTCTGGAAGGTCTGAAAGTTGCTGCTGAGCAATTCAGTGGTTTAAAAGCTAATACAAGTATTTTAAAGTCTGTTCTCTGACCTACAGGTTGCCAGTTTAAGGACTTTAAAACCCGACTGATGTGCTCTATGTTTCTAGTCTTAGTCAGAACAGCATTTTGCTGCCTGATGGATTTTTTTGGCAGACCTGTGAAGATACTGTTGCAGTAATCAATGCGAATAAAGATAAAAGCATAAATGAGGTTGTGTATACTATTATGTCAAACATGTATAGAAAGGTGATGCTAGAATGATATTGATTTAATATCACCACTAAACACGGTAAAATATTACAGTTTTATAGCGATATGCAAATTATATATATCTTTTCTGTTTTTTGTTTGTTGTAAGCAAAAAGTCATTAAAAAAAATAAAAGAATTAATACAATTTTTTTTTATTTCTGTAACACTTCATAGTTTGCTTCAGAGCAGCAGGACTTCTCCATTGATATTTCAAAGTGGTCTTTTTGATAACTTTTCTAGACTAGATTTATCTATCCTGTTTCATTTTGCAATACCAATTTTAACCACCAAGTAATATGTTATGCTACTTTCAGAGTTTAGGTTCCAAACGAAATGTATTTTTGGCAGAAATTGTGAATCAAAGAATGTAAACATTTCTATTTTTCATATCCATGTTCATATCCATCATATCCTGTTAAATAAAAAAACAGCTCTGAAAGAGAAATTATCTAAAGCTAGTTTAACTTTTTTTTTTCTTTGTCAGAACTGTGAAGAAAATATGCTTTCAACAATTAGTGTTTAAGTAACTTTGTTTCAGGAGATTATATGATCTTCAGTAGAGGTCATGACCTCTACTTTGGGAACCACTGATTTACAGGACTGAATTCAGAGCGATGAGGTCCTGCTCTAGCTCCTAATATCTGTTTAACACTCATCTCTTCCAAGAACGATTCATCTCCTAACACCTTTAGCACACCTAATTCTCACTTACTCCGCACTTCTTTACCTGGGCTGCATCACTTCTGAGGTTATATTTAGCGCTTAATGCTGATGCATAGGTGTTACACTGGTCTAAACAAGAAATGCTGATTCACACATACAGTATGCATCACTTTCAGGAAATAATGCAAATCCAGGGACTTGAAGAAGTACTTATTCAAACATTTTTAATATTTGCACACCCCACCGTATCTGGTAGCCTGAAGCATAAAGCAATTTCATACAAAGGCTGTATTTGAGGCCTGATCGGTAAAACTTGAACTCCAAAAGGGCTTTTGCATAGGCTCAACATTGAAGGAGGGAACTATTTTCTGTTTCTGTAAGGTAAAGCCAGTTTATTTGTATAGCACAATTCAATTCAAGGATAAATTAAAGTGCCTTACATTAATTAAGCAATAAGACAGAAGAACAATAAAACCAGAATGAAAGCAAATAAAGATAAAAGCAGATAGTAAAAAGAAATAAAACAGTTGGACCACAACTTTAAACTAATGATACCTCAGATAACATAAAAACAAATTACATCCTCAGCTTTAATGTTTAAATAAGCTCATCTTCTCCATGTTGGAAAATTTTTAAAGATGTTTAAAGACTTGAAGTCAGGAGTCCAAACCAAACAACTCATTACAAAACACAAAGTGCGTCTGAATGAATTTTCTGTTGTGGTGGGTATTCAATAATCAATATTCTCATTTTAATGTTTTCTGACAAAGCAGCTGTGAACTTACAACATATAAGATGATAGTTTACCTTGGCAAAGTTACATTGACCATTCCTGTTGGCACAATCTCCAATGATTTCCCCCAGAATTTATTTTTCCATCGCTGGTCTGTAAAGAGATATTACTAAATGCTAATGATATTGTGAAACTTCATGTACGTAATATACTGAAGGTATATATAAAGATATAGATATTTATGTGCACGTAGCTGTATGACCTTGCCAAAATGTGAAGTTTTCTGACTCGGCGTGGCAGGCTGAGATGGGTGGATGATGGCAGACCTTTTGCAACATGAAGAACACCCATCAGTAAATATCCTTTTTTTTTATCTCTGCAGTATTATTTTTAGTGTTGTAATTTTGTGTGAAATTATGCTTCTTGGTAAAAAGAAAGACGAAAGTTTAACTTTAAGTGCAAATAACACAGATATGATTCCACCAATAAATAAATAAAAAGATGCATGTAAGCTTTGGAAATATTTAAAAAGGAAAACTTTAAAGCTAAATCATAGGGCACTTTCTATTTTTTTTAGGACAATATGTCTATGGCTAGTGTCCGCCTTTATGCAGATGACGCCATACTTTAATGTTGCCTCTTAAACTAAAGTTCAGCTCCTGGAGTGATTAGCATATAGCTTACAGCTGATTCCTGCAGTGAATAGAGCTAAATGAATTATATTCTCTAGATATCGCTTCAGCTTCTACAATATTGGTGGTATTCTTAGCCTCTTAAAGATAGTCCTACAATCTACGGCATAAGCCAGTTATAGGGATTACATGGATATAGAAGATAATAAAATCAGGTACCTGCTCACTGATGAAACGGAAACCTCGATCCTCTCTGATACACTCAAAGGTTTCCCCCAGAACTGGGTTGAAGGGCTTATAGCGATTTCTGAACGTTGCAGTGGAATAACCGGAAATAGCAAAGGCAGCAATGTAAACCTAGATGACCAGAAACACAAGAGACAGATATGAAAATTAAAACGATTAATTTAAACTTTACTTAAATCATTAAAAGCTTCAAAACTGGGCCATAAATGCTGTTTTATCACTTGAATCACGAAATACATTTGATCAGCTGGGAGATGTGTTAGCATCTTTTAATTGTATCACGTTTTGTTTTAAAAATAAAGTTCATTTGTCTGATTAACATATGTTTTTTTAAATCCTTTTATCTTGGGCAAACACTTGGATTTTTCCTGTCAAAATAGTTTTATCATCAGATTTATTCAAGATAACCTTTCCCGTGTTTGTTTCATTTGTGATAACAGCTTTTTTTTAATCTCATTTTCAATTATAGTAAGAATTAAATTGATTAGTTTATATCAAGCATTTTTTTTCTTAACATTTTAATCATGTTATTGTAACCATCTTGGTTCTGTTGTTTTTCTTTAAGTTTTCAGTTTCAAGTTTAGCCAGGTTTTTCCTTGTTTTCTAGCTTTATTGGTCTGTCTGGATTCGTTTAAGTTGCTTAGGTTTTTCTGTCTGTCCTCTGTTGCCCCCTTGTGTTCTTTTCTCTTGGCTTCCTCATCAGCTCTAGTCACACCTGCTCCCTATCAGCTCATTAGCTCTACCTTTGTTCAGTCAGCCATAAATACACTCCCCCTGCAGTCCCTCTTTGCTGGTCCCTCATCTTATTTCATCCTACCCTGGCTCCTCATGACTTTCCCCCCTGATTTTTCCATGGTCCTGGTTAGTGTTCAATTCTTATGTTGGTTTTTTTGGATTTCTGTTTTGATTTACATTTTTAAGTTGGATTTTTGGATTCCTGTTTTTGCTGCCTGATTTTTCATTAAACCTTCCAAGATCTCACCCCTGCCTCTCAGCTTCTGCTTTTGGGTCCTAACAAAAACCTTAAAACCAAATCGTGACAGTTATTTTCTCTATATAGGCTCCTGAGCTAATATTGACATGATAGAAGTTACATTACGTCATTATCTTGAGGTATAATAAGCTGGATGCAACTTTAAGCTGAAGACATTTTTAATTTATTTTCTTGGAGTAACTTCATGATGTCATCATGGTTAGAAAATACCTCAAGCTTCTGTTCTTGCACCCACAGTTTATTCTCATGATAATATCAATAAAATGGAATCCGAGGCTGCAGTTCTTCAGACAAAGATTATTTTATTTGTTCTAAACCTAGAAAAGGACCTTAATGTTGTCAGATGTTTAGGCTAAAAGGATCTAAAATAAACAAAAGCGTTACTTCTACAAGTTATGCCTCACTGTCCTTTTAGCATAATTTCTTTCTTAAATCACTGAGTTTTCTGCCATTATCTTGAGAAAATATTGTTTGTTATAAATATATATTTAAAAAAGATCCAAAGAAAAATTTGTTTGAATAAGAATGCTTTGAATTATCCTGGACTCTCATTAGAAACAAGTTATCTGCATTCCAAATGCAGCAGCCACCGGTTTACTTGTTCTTGCATACAAATATCCTTCATATTAGCAGTCTTACCATCCTCTGGTATGGGTCTGGTGTGTTGCTAGCCGTGTCAAGCAGCTCGCTGTACTCCAGCTCTTCACACAGTCTCTGCAGCAGGTTAATCGGCTCATTGAGAGCGGCCGGCATGGACACACGAGCCAAGTCTTTGCCTGCGGAAAAAAAGGTTCAAGACTATAAGATATGATTTCTGGATTTATTTTCCTTCAATAAATCGATATGCAAGTCTTGCCTATGTTGTTGTAGAGAATAGCCATGAGGCCGACGTGGCTGTTGTCAGGACAATAAGCTGGTAGGGTTGTTCGACGTCCAGAACTCTTGGGAATTACGTTGTTTGGAGTCCTGGAAATGCTTGCACGGTACTTTCGGGTTGTCAATGCTGCAAGTAAGAGAAATTATTATTAATAATAGTTGTGATTGAGCACAGAAATAATTTGGAGATGATGAAATCATATTCTGCAGCAATTCTTGTCACCTTGAATACTTGCAATTTCAAAAAAAAAAAAAAAAAAACAAAAAAAAAACAATCATACAAAACATTGTTTTCATTTTAATTGCTTTAATTAAACAATCCATAGATGCAGAATTTTTAATGTTTATTATTGAATATGGATTGCTAAAGGACAAAACTGCACAAAAATAAATTTTTCACCTCCAATTTTAAATAGAGATGTAGATGATTGAAATAATATCCTTTATTTTGACAAACAGATCTAATGCAGATGCTTAATGGACCTAACCTATAATTAGCAGAATTCCATCAGAATGTTAGGTTGTTTAGTATAATAACAAATTAGCTTTTAGCATCGTTTTATAGGGGTTAAGTGCATTAATGGAGGATTTTCAGAAATTCAGTTCAGTTACTTAATTAAGTTTCTCGAAATGTAGAATTTTGCTATTTAAATTAATTTACAAAACTAGACAGGCATTTATGGCACTTAATAAACACTTGTGGTTTTATTATTATTTTTGTTTAATCCAGGGATTGCCATTGCCATTGATTTTTTTTTTTTTTACAAAAATGACCAATCTATCAATGCAAACAATGGAAACAAAACTTTATGTAAGTTACCTCTCAATAAAATTGGCTACTTGATGCAGCTAAATTTCATAAACTCTTGCAAAGTCATATTGAACTTGTCAGAGGGTAAAAGTGGGCCTGCTATTAATTAAAGTGTTTACCTGCGCATACTATATTTCTTTTATAGTTTAATATAAGATATGCTATAAATGCTATAAATATGTAATTATGGGTATTTCTAAATCTTACTTATTTTGCTGTCCCTTTTCAACTATAATACAGCTTATTTTTAACTGATACAAGCAGAAAAGCATTTCTGTATTAGAGTAAAAGTTTGAACTGGTCCTTTTTGGGAGGCGACAGTGTCGTCGGATGGTTCAAGTCCCTGTTTTGGCTTTCAGTGTCACTGTGTCCTTCAGCAAGACACTTCACCCGCATTGCCTACTGATGATGATGTGTTATTTTTTGGGTTTTGATTTGTTCTTTAAAACCACTGACACCGGTGCCCAGACCTAAGACATCCTGAGCAGATAAGATGATTTTCCACATTTTTATTCCTTCATCCATCTTTCTACTATACATTATCCTTGTAAAATCATTCTGTCCAATCTTTTACATAAAATTGATTAAAATTTTTGTTACTTGTGCAAAAAATTAGAAACAACAAAATAAATGGAAGCAGAATTTCTAGCCAATAAGATTTTATTAGGCGGGGCTTATTGCATTAAATATTTTTTATAATGGAGATCAATCTCAGAAGACGGCAGAATTGACAAAGACTGAAAAAGAGTCAAAATGTTTTCAGAAAAACTGCGCGAAAAGTCTGTTTGCCTCTGATTTACTAAATCACCACTGTTTTGTGGTTTAAAGGTTAAAGTTAATTATGAATGAAACCTTAGTAAGATGCATTACTGACCATGTCCCTCCTCTGGTTCTGAATTACTGGTGCTTCCATCACTAAGTCCGGATTCATAAGACACTTCAGAGGAACTACCACCGAGGACGTCGTCGCTGGCATCAAAATATTCTGCAACTGAATCTGTTACCGAAGGAGGCCGATTTGTTGGCGCAGGCTGATGAAAGATGGAGATAAAGGAGAAGAAACACTAAGAATGGCTCTCAGAAACAACTGAAGTGTGAAAATAACAGTAGGCAATGAATTTATACCACAGCTAATGTGTTAGACTGATGGAGGTTGTTGGCTTCCCAAGCTTCTAGCAACTTTTGCCTCTCCAGGGACAGAGTTTCATGCACCAACTTTAGAGAAGAAAGCACTGGTGGTGAAAGGTGCAAAGGAGAATAAATCAAAGATTAGAGAAACACATTGAGCTTTAAACAGATCTACCTCTAAATTCTAGCTTGTTAATACCATTAAAAACTGAAGATAGCTTTTTTTTATTTTGTGATGTGTTAATGCCTGACCCCGTGCTGACATGGCGCGGATGTCCTGCTGGATCTTCTTGCCCTCTGGTGATACAATCGTGGGAGGGGACAGCTGGGAGTAGACGTAGTCTGGGATGGAGGGCACTGACACGCCGAGGTGGGATGAGCTGCTCAGGTGACTGGAGGACAGCTGTGAGGTGAACAGAAGAAAAGAGAAGATGGTTTTATTAATGGTTGATTTAACAGTTCCCTTGTCATCTGTCAGTTTGTGTCTACTGTCACTGTTTGATGCATTGTCCTACATTCTTCCCATATATATATAATGCAAAAGATACATTTAAACTAAAAGTAATACTAACTTTTATGGCAAAGGCTAGATGTTGCTAAAAGCCGCAGAGAAAGACGTGAAAATGCAAAGATGGAGACACATACTTAAAGATTAACTGAATCTCTGTTTTTATTTTAAGTTTTTGTTAGATATTAAAAAAAAAATTACGGATCAGAAGTCATATATCTGAACAGTAATTATTATTATTATAATCACTGAAAAATTTAACGCACTCACTTATACTAAAAACTTATACTAAAAACACATTTGTTTAGGATTGCCTACGACTGTTCTAGTTAAACAGTTAGTTAAACTAAAACATATTTTCTTTAGTCCAACTGTAATATTCTTTTTTGTTTCTGCATTTTTTATTTTATTTTATTTTATTTTCCTACTTGCTTTGATTCTGTTTTATCTTCCTGTATTTTAATCATGTAAAGCACTTTGCATTGTCGTTGTACTGAATTGTGCTATACAAATAAATTTGCCTTGCCTTGCCTTATACACACACACACAGATAGACTCATGTGTGACTCTCAGCATCCTAGGTAACCCTCTGCTGAAATGTTTGTCTCATGTTATATGTACTTTTCTTGTGCTGAGGTTTTTTGATATCTCAGACTTTATCCTGTCAAAGATTAAGTGTGAAATATGCTTTTTTTTTTCCTCTCCCTCCCCAATGTGGCTCCTATCTTTCCACAGAGATTAAATTGAGCTCCCTAAGGAAACCGCATACCGAGGTGACCCTGGCAGCTGAATCAATGCACCTAACGGCAGTATTCTTTGGTGCGCATGGCCTCAGTCAAATTGTTCCCCTGTAATCCCCATATGTGATGAATGGTTTGAACTGAAACTGAAATCCAGATTACAATGAAAATTGTAGTTGACAATAAAGAAATTGATTGATTGATTGATTGATTGATTGATTGATTGATTGATTGATTGATTGATTGATTGATTGATTGATTGATTGATTGATTGATTGATTGATTGATTGATTGATTGATTGATTGATTGATTGATTGATTGATTGATTGATGTCAGTATTAAAGCGTTCCTTGTGCGTCGCATTTTTTTAGAGAACTTCATATTATTTGATGCTTTGCTTTATTGGCAACTCACCGACTTGGAAATCCCACGAATAGGCTGTGGATTAAAAAAATAAAATAAAAATAATGATTTGAGTGGATTCAATGAAAGTCAAAGCATTCAACAGTATATATATATGAAATCATTGCATATATATACAATGGTTTACAGACCATTCTTACCATTCCCAGGGCCTCTACTCTGGATAGTGTGCGGGAGTGGCCCCACATTTTTCCTGACTTTGTCTTCTTTGGCTTCTCAAGAGACAGGTTCTGTTTAAAGGTCAGGTTATTAAATTGTTATTTACACGTTATATATTTTTTATATAACAACTGTTAATTTATTTTTATTTTTTTTAAAGGGCAGTCAGTCTATGAATACCTGTATGCTGATGATGCGTTGCAGGTCTCCATTGGTGAAAGTTTGGCTCACCTCCATTGCCTGAAGCCTCTGAATCAAACGGCTGAGCTCTGACAGGTCCATATCGCATTGGTTCAACTCTGTACGAAAGCATCAAGTTAGTCAGGTTTCATTTACATTAAATTAACCTAAAAGAACTAATCCTGTTATTTCAAATCTTAATGTCATCCCATTGTCTGTACTTGAACTTTGACACTTTGACTGGCACAAGCTGCATCAACATTTATATTACACCGTATTTCCTTCATCTTCATGTCAAACACATGATTTTAGGTCTTTTAAGTTATCAAAATAATTTCCATATTAGGTCAAAAGTATTGAATATGAGAGCAATAAAAAAATTAATAATATCAAACTATTATCAACGTGTGTAAAATGCAGAGTAACTTATTAAATACAGGAAGATTTTAATTTTTAAACAACTAATGTGTTAAATAAGTTATAATCCAGGCAGCTGTTTGAACTATTTTTAAAAAAGTACATGAAAAATCATTTATGATACACAATCATTACTTAATTTGTAAATGTGGGGGGTTTTTTTAGAAGAAAATGTAATAATTTCACCATTGATTTGTTGTTGTTTTTTGTTCATATTTATCTTAGTATATTTGTTGAAATACAAAATATACACATTTAATAAATCTACTAATAAATACAATTTTTAGAATAAAGATTTAAATGAGAAAATTGTAAAGTATTATTTTAATAGTTAACATTCATATTGTCTGTATTTGTGATGACCTACTATACTATGCAGTGCAGAAAAAAAATGTTTAAGTTTCGAATTTTGATTTAAAATATTTGGACTATAGAAATAAATAAATAGTGAAGAACTAACTTATCTATAAACATAAAAAAATTTATTTTAGTTTAATTATTTATTTTAATTGAATTGAAACAAGTGAAAAAAGGGATTAATGAAATAAATGTGGTTAGCAAATAATAGAATCAGTCTAATTAATTATTCTTTAATCAACTTTAATAACAAATAGTGCATTATTCACTCATTTGAATTACAGTATTAATCATTGAATTTTCGAATATCATTTAAAATTTATCGATGAGAAGCTAATAAATAGATCAATAAACCTTGAAATACCAGGCTTGCTTTTAACATATAATTATTTTATATGCTTTTTTTTACTTGTGACCCGTATTTTCCCTCATTTTGGAAAGGATGCCTTTACAATCCATAAAGAGATTAACTGAATCTATGTGAAAGTTGGAAGATGTCACTTAATTCTACAAGATAAAAATTAGAATTAAATCAAGACTCTTTACTCTCACCATAAAGAAATAAAAAGGAGTAAAAAAACCTGAAAACAATATATATTTTTACTGGTTTCTGACCATTTTTTTTTTTTTTCAGCTGTGGATCTTGGTTTAGACAGTCTTGCTGAACTCTGGTGTTTGCAATTGTTTTTTTGTTTTTTTTGCAGGTGGCTTTGAGTCGAATACCTTGAACACACATATCTGGATTGTGGCTTTGCTTCAGCCAGGCAGACACCTTGGTGTTTACGGCAGTGTTAGCTGATGGTAAGACCCCGGATCCTCCTGCACAATTATCTGCCCCTGCAAAACTCTGACACTATAAAGACAGATACAAAAAGCGAAAGAAGCTAATTTAGGACTCTTTTTTAAATTTCCGGCAAAGACGGTGTTAAGTTTGACTTTAGCAACCATACAGTCACCATATCTCCATTTCTGTGGGCTTGTCTAGTCGGAGTTGTGTTGCACAGTGCTTGCAGGAAGCCGCTGTGAGTGTGAGTTGGCTCCTTCTTTTTGAACAGGCGGTGCGCTTGCAGCTTTGTCACCCAAATGTAGAAGAGATCGTGGCTCTTTGCCTTTGGGATTGAAAGGAATATTTGGTCTTTTAAATCAGACAAACCAGTTATTTGTTTAAAAGCAAACAGCAATATTCAAAAACTATATTTACCTTAATATGATAGAGGATGTCACCAGCATCCAAGTCGATCCGATTAGATTTTTTGTTTATGGACATGACAGCATGACTAACATCTAAAGAACCTTGGACTCGACCCTTGGAGACCTTTTCAAAACAAGAATGTTTAGATCATTCCAAATCATGTGGCATAAAATCTTAACTTTCACATTTTCCAGCCTAAAAGTTATGAAAGAAATATTTGAAAAAAGCCAGATATATTTCTGAAAAGAAATGTTAGATAGACCTACATGAAAAGCAAATCAAAAATATAATAAAACATTTTAATTAACTTTAATTAAGAGTTTGTCCTTTTTGTATTTGCTGTTTAAATATTAAGCTTAACCCAATATAGATCACAGTCAGAGAAATGCAATTAGGCACAACATTAAGACCACTGGTCTAAAAGTTTGTTTGTCCCCCTTTTGCTCCCAAAATGAGGAAACATGTCTTTTTTTCTATCAGATTACTGCAAAAATATCCTTAACTTGATAAGAATCTTTTAAAAAAAAAAATTTATTTTTGTAAAATATAAAGAGAAAAAGTTGAAGCAGAGCAATCTCATAGGAAAGACCTTGGAAAGTATTTGAAGTATTCATCAGATGCCAGAAAAAAAATCTTATGAACCAAAAGTTCCCAGTCCGAGTTTTGAGTCTGATAAAGATGAATTTATTAGAGTAAAAGTTTAAATAAAATGATCTTAGTAGCTTGGTTAGCACTGCTTCTCTCAGGACTTCTTGGATCTGCAAAATAATAATTATCTTTCATATCTTAAAGGTCGTCCATACAGAAACCTCCACATCACATTCCTGTCAAATGTGTGAGCCTATTTAGAAAGATGTAAGCGTGATGTAATCTTAAAAACTATTACACATAAAGTCATTCTAATGAAAATTACACTAATATTTCAAAATAATTATGTTTTACTGAAATTTAACATGTTTTGCTTCAGAGGACTTCAACAAAATGTGAGAAAGAACTGTTCCTCTTTTACCTTAGACTCTCATCTAAGGTGGAAATCATCACACAGTTCCCCTCCTGCCTAAATATGAGCATGTCTGCTTTTCAGGAGGATATTAAGAATGAACAAAGTCTCCCAGCATGAATGTCACAAGAACCAGAATATTTTCTTTGATTGTCTGCTCACACTGAAGCTCTGCAGGACTTTGTGTTATTTCTCATGGACTTAAGGAACTTTGTTTCCCTCCTTATTAAAAAAACAGATTTCCTAATCCAAGAGCAGCAATGCAGTATTTCCATAACAATTATCCGGAGAGAACCTCCTTCTTTTAACAGTGCTTTAACAGTGATAAACATTGAAACTGATTTAATTCTGAGTGGCATCAAATTTATTCTTCTGACAGCTTCCACAACAGCTGTTCACTGGGACTGAAACTAAGGTCAAACTCAGTTCAGGTTGCAGAAAGGCCGTGATGTCATCTAATTTTATTTCTGTATTTTTCTATAGAAAGTATTATTTTAATGGGCTGCATCCCTACTACAGAGGCACTAGTTACAAATTCAATGAAGCTGTGATATTTGGCCTTTTGATGTTAGCAGCAACCTTTAAGTTCTTTAAGTTTTAATTGAAGACTACAGGGAACAGACTTTTTTTGTCCAAAAGGGTCTCAAAACTTAATCACATATAATCAAAAAGATTTTTTTAAAGCTGAACAAAAGGAATTTTCTTTCCAGTTGACAACCTTAAAACACTTTGTGTGGAAAATCAGAAATAAAATAACAATAACATACTTACATCTTGTTGGCTTTTGGAGTAGCGTAAGATTCCTGCTTCCAAAATGAAGTATCGCTGTAAAATAAGAAAAACTCAAAGTGAGCATCCAGGAAAATATTGTGGCTGTTTAATGAGGCTGGTTATTTAGCCTCCCTCACCTTGTGCCAGCCTTTCAGAGGCCACTTTCTCCTCTTGAGAAGATACCCCTCACATATTCCTGGAGCGGACCTATCCTGAGGACTCTCACTTCCTGCTTGCATTTCTACTTGAAGATCATCTATTACTTCCCAGTCTTTGATAATCTGTTGAGAGCAAAAGGAAAAAGCAGGATTTTTTGTTATATATATATTAAGATCTCTAAGAGGATATTTCATCTTATTTAATAAAAGGAGAAATCGCCTTTTTTTGATCAACAGCATGTGGATTAGTCCGACCTTTAACTGACCTGTCTGGAGTGACGAGATGACAGAGTGCTGCTGCTCTGAGAGAGAGCAGGCTTGTTCCACGACGGCAACGTTTTCTCCAAACCGCTCGCCAGCGACTGGCTGCGAATGAGAGACGATCCGTTGGAGTCCATGTCTGTCCTCAGATCCCTCTAAATGTTTTGATTCGCTGTTTGTTTGGAAATAACCTCCTTGATCTACTGAAAGCCTCCTGCAGTCAGAAAAAGTGAAAGTGCTGAATTATTTTTTTTATCTATAGGTCATCTAAAAGAAAGTCACCTGAGTATAATTCTATATTAATATAAAATTTCAGGATAAGAAATAAAGAAAGATTTAAAGAAGCCTTGGTTTTTTAAACAATACATATTTGAATATCACACCAAGTACCATTCAATACATCTGAAAATCCAACTGTAAACCTACCAAGACATTTTCTTCTAGCTAAACTAAAACACCAGGCAAGGAGAGCCTATTGAAGAAGCCAAGTTACTCTGAAAAAAGCAAAGATGGAGACGAAGGTGTCTTTAAATAAATATATATATATATATATATATATATATATATATATATATATATATATATATATATATATATATATATATATATATATATATATATATATATATATATATATATATATATATATATATATATATATATATATGTAAACCAAGTGAATAATATCAGCAGTATGCAGCACAGCTGGGGAAAATCAAAGCAGAGAATCTGCTGCCGGTAAAAATCTGAATATATTGAGGTTCAATTAATCAATTCCTGGCTGTTTAACGTGGGGACGGAGAGATTTAGCCTGTATCTGACTTCTTCACTTCACGTTTGAGCCACATTGGCCATTTTCACACTATGCAATTTTTTTCAGGAATCAGATTTTAATATCAAGTCTTTCCTATTACCTTTGTTTGGATGCTGTGAACCAGCCACAAGTGATGGAGCAGGGATGCTAACAACTTCACAGATTGAGTTTATTCAGAACTTTATCATGTCCGGTGTGACTTTTAAACATTACATCTTTCTACGCCAGAGACAGAAGACTCAATATAATCCAGTCAAATAGGGCTATAGCTGGGGCAGATCGCCGCACGCTGATGATCTGCCAAGATAATAGCATTTTAAAGTCCTCTGTTTGAAGTATTATGTATTATGCATTACTAACTATATCCCACATCCAAACAGTTCCTATGAGCCGTCCAAATAGCCCTGAATACAGTTTTATCTCTGTTTATAACTAGCTCTGATGTCTCTCCACTGTGCAGTACTATCCATTATTGATCCATACAGACCAGACTTCCTGGTGATGTGTGGGTTAGGTTTATCCATATTCAGCTGCAATATCCAGTTCTTGATATTAGGGTCAAAAAGAGATAGATGGACATTCTGCTTCAAGATTTTCTCAAAGACATCAAAATTAATGGTTTCACTGGTGACTGGAAATAATGCACTTCCTGAAGTAGCAGAACGGCATCAGACCGTTAAACCAATACCACAATGTTTGACTGTAGATGTCAGATTTCCATAAAGGCTGTTTGATGAATGAAAAATGTTTCCAAAAATATTTTGTGTTTCTTTAAGTAAAGCTTGGATGGAGATTTATTTTTTCTTTCGGGGGTTTTAATTTTGGAGCTTTTCCATTGCCATTGTTAACTATTCGCTTTGCCTCTTTTTCACTGCTAAATCATGAACTCTTACTTTAATTGAGGAAGTGAGACCTTGTTGTTGTGAATAACTTTGATTCTACTACCTGGGAACTGCCTTGAATTCAGGGATACTAGAATAAAATTAGAGAGTAGGTAGCTGAATAGAAATACACAGTTCTGATATTTTAATTGCTAATTGATTTAGAGATGTATGTGTCATTTCCTTCAGCCATACTTAATCATCTGTTCATCTCTGTGAGTACTTGGAGCATTTGAGTTGAAATTTGATTAACTGAGAAAAGGTGGAAAAGCATCCTGTGACTACAAGTTTCCAAAGCGCTTATGAATACTAGGTCTTAAACCTTAAACAAACAGAAAACTAAGACTTAAAGCCAAAATGCTGACCACCATAGTTAAAAACAAATAGCAAATATGAAAGAAAAAATGTCAAAAATCATTCTACAGCAAACTGAATCTCCAAATGTGGATGGCGGTGGCCAGTTTGCTCGGTTGTTAATCTAGTGTTGGTTGTGACGCGAAGGTAAAGGCTGCCTGCAAGAGAAGGATTAACCTCTGTCTAATTAGATTTTCAGTCGATGCTTTTAGCTACTTGAGAACCTCAATTTCCAGCCTGAGAGCCCTGACACAACAGTAAACACTTGCAGAAATGTTTGCAGTAAAAGTAGGCGACAAAGGCAAAAGCATTTCATAAGTTGTTTGACTAAGAATTTTTTAAATGGTGCAAATAATTTAGCTTTAAAAGACATTCTAACCCTTTAGGTGACTATTTGTATTTTAGCATGAAGTAATACTTAATTGTTATTTAAAGCTAATATGTTTGCATGTAAACTAATTTGGGGACATTTATAGATCCCTTTGTTAATAATGACAGATTTATTATGCTGAGTTTCTGTATTTTGTAGAAGAAAGGGGAGAATACCAGGTGGCAGATGTGTTATGTAAGGTTACAGGGAGGACCTCAGGAACTGACCTCTATAATGAAAGCATCACAGAACGGAAACAGGATGAAAGGATTTGGAGGATTCTGAGCTCATTTACTCAACAGAAAAGACAAAGAATAAACTAAGCGAAACAGTTTGATTTGACTTATTTCTCTACTAAAGGCAACTTTAAATGTTAAAGTACTAATTTGAAAACAAAAAACTATATTTTTTCTTATTTGGCTTAGGTTAATGCTCTCTGGAAATAGGTAATGAGTGGATTAATGATTTGACAGGCTTTTTTTTTTAAGTAGATGGAAAACTAACATTAGTTATTTGAAAGGTGGAAGTCGCCCAAGGTGGAGTTGGCCTCCTCCCAGAGGGTGGGGTTAAAAAGCCTCAGATTATGACAGCTATAATCTCTTCAATAATCGTCATCAATAATTTGTGTTCATGAACAATTTTGGACTTTGTAAACATTCAGCCTTTGCTGAATTAAACAATCATGTTCGAAAACTGCTGTCTTGTAAGTTAAAGAATTAAATAATGCACCCGGGTAAATTCAGTTAACAAAGGAGATTGGTGATGACAGTCATAGAGTTACTTTAATTATAAAATTGTAAAAATGAGAACAGACAAACATCACCTACATCTAGTCTGTCCTGCTCTTAAGCAGAAGATGTGATAAAACAAACACACACAGAGGAGAGTATGGAAATATATTCTAAATATATAACAGTCTTTGGGAGCACATACCTAACGGGGCGGCTAGGAAAAGGGAAACAAAGAATCCTATATCAGGACAGGCCCTGATAGGAGACAGATCATATGGGGCAAAGAGATAAACACTTCCTGCTGAACATTTTATGGACAGTAAGCTGATTAAACACAAAAGAGGTAACAACTTAAGATATCCCGATGATAACCAGAGGTCTGAGTTTCTTTTAAGATGCTGATCTGACTCTGGATGATATGGAACAGGTCAGCCAAGATGAAAGTTTGCTAAAGAACATGATATAAAATCCAAAATGTCACAGATTTATTTTATCTGTTAAGTTTTCTGTATTCAACATCTGAAAATTCAATGCAAGATCTTGGATTCTGATATATGACATAAAAAATACTTTAACAGACAAATCTGAGCTTTGATATGTAATGTAGTTATAGCTAAATACATTTCAACTGTTATTATTTGATAGTAAAGCTGATTAAGTTTGTCCCCTTATGCTCTAATGAGAACCTATAGTATGTAGAGTTGAGCACTTGGGTGGATTCAGAGTAAAGAAATAAAGCTTTACTTTATATCAGAACTTGTATTCTTCAAAGGTTCTTACCTTAAACACACTCCTGACTCTCATCATCTGCTCCCTTCCCCTGATTCATCCAGAAAATCAAATCTATCTCACCTGATGATTAGAAATCTGGAATAAACCATGGCTTGGAGAGGAAGCGGGGAACAACTTTTATACTATCCAAAAAATATCAAAGTACATGTCCTATCCGCAGATTACCGCCGACTCTGACCAGATAATCTGACAGCCCGTGCGGTCTCTGCAGACGGAGGGACGCGGGCTGCGTCCAAATCCAAGAAGGTCTGCGCGACGCAGGCAGTGCGCACCGCGCGCACCGTGCGCAACGAGTCCTGAGCTTTATCCGCATTAGCTGGAATTACTGCGGCGCTCTGGGAGGGGGTTGAAGAAGAGCAGACGTGTGGCTCCGTTTACTCTACAGCAGCTCACATAGCATGAAGCGGCGGGAATGAAATTGGTTGGATTTTCTAATGTAGATTTAAAGCATAGAATACCCACTTCTCTAGGGACCACAACACTACTGTATATAGTTCATTATCAGGTTTATTTGTGTTAATTATGATAATGCTTTATAGAGAATTCAATTCAGTTTATTTCTATAGCGCCAATTCACAACACGTGATCTCAATGAACTTTACAGTTCACTAGATCATCCAGTCAGATTGATTCAAAGATTTTTATCTAAGGAAAACCAGTGGATTGCATTGACTCGTTGACTTAAATGCAATCCCTCAAACTAAGCATGCTTGTAGCGACAGAAGAGAGGAAAAACTGCCTTATAACAGGAAGAAACCTCCAGCAGAACCAGGCTCAGTGTGAGCGGCCATCTGCCGAGGACGGCTGGGGTTCAAGGAGACAGAAGCAGACATACAAAAAGCAACTGTAAAAGGCAGCCCAGGAAACACACAGTCAGGCAGACGAGCTCCGAGCCAGCTCACATGTCATTAAGAGAGCACATCCAGTTAGTCACGGTCAGAGAAACAGGACTACACTGAAAAACAGGCCTATCTCCAACATCTATAAACAAAGGGGCTGATGGCAGCAGCACAGCTGACATTTCTCTCCAGGATGGAGTCACAGCCAAACAGGAACATACGAGGCAAAGCTACTATGAGAAAAAGCAGAGAGAGCATTACGTTAGAGATTGAACTAACAGATTCTGCAGAGTGGGAGAATAGAGATAGAATGAAGCAGAAGGATGAAATATCCATAAAAGAAAAAAGAAAACTGATTGTCCAAGTTCTGCAAAAATTAAATATAACACTTAAAACCATGAGGATAAAAATTCTAACAAATAAATCTTATTTTATGGCCTACAATGCCGATCACTTCTGACTTAAAAGTCGTCCAAAATGAGCCCCATAAAGAGTGATGTATTCAAACCTATTCATGGAAAACTGTGGAAACTTTGGAAAGGTAGAGAAAGATGCTCAAGCAAAATGGAAAACCACAGCCTTGGAAGAACTGTAAACCTCAGAACAAATGTAACAGTGATTTCAAAAGGGTTTTGGTTCTAGGCCAGATTTATTAGAGCCACCAGGATGGGGCCAATGTTTTTTTGTTTTATGTTTTTTTCATGGTCGCTAAAAAGAGAAAGAAAAAAACTAACAGAATAGAGCACTGGTGCATTGTTTGAAATAAAGTGAGCCAAAAAGCCAATTGCAACCATTAACATCTAAGATTTAGTAGATACAAACTTGAGTCTGTCTGAGTATGACAGAAGCTAAACGTAGAACCATTGGCGTAGGTTTGCATAGGGACCATAGGGACATGTCCCTACCAAAATTTTGAACCGACCTAATTGTCCCTACCAATAATTGGATGTGAGCAACATGTTTATAATTTACAGCAGTAGTTCTTGCAGCAGTGGCTTCTATTCCTCTCGCAGCTCCTCTGCCTGGTCTCTCCTGTCCCTTACATGCAGCAGCGCATGGAACTGTGCTGCGCTGTTTAACTCCACTCTCATTGGTTGTTCTGAGTTCCGCCTTCTCTCCCTCTGATTGGCTGTTTTCTAGTCCGCGTGTGCTTGGAGCACTTCATTGAAAATTTATTCACACTAGAATGCAGCGGTTACTACAATTAATATTAGGCTACAAAACTAGTCCCAATAAAAAAAATTAATATCATGTACACTAAAAAACAAAAACCTTTTTTTTCTTTTTTAAAACGATATATTCTGAGTCAGCCAGGAGTTCTGAAGACTGCTGGAAAAATGGGCAAATAAAGGCTGTAAGCCATCAACATTTCTGATTCTTAGCAACAGCCAATTAAGAAAGAAAATGTGAGGGTTTCCTTTTTACCGATATTTAGTTGATATTACTGTTTTCATTTTTTTGTTTTTATTTTTACAATTTTAATATAACTTATCTAAGTGGGTTGCTCTGTGGTTTCCCACACACATTTTACATTTATATTACTGTATGTTTTAAAGTCTCTATACTCTAGTTAATGATGAATCACCTACTAAATTAGTTGACGATTATTGAAATAATCAATATGATTCATTTTTTTTCAGCCCCAGATGAAATACATGAAATGGGCTACACAGAGTAACTACAGCCCAGATGTTCAACTTTTATAGTGAAGTTAATATTTTAATGAATGTATTATTTTGCTTGATACAGAGAGAGAATAGTAGGTACAAATATTAGAGTGGGGTTTAACTCTGCACAATTCTATATCTTCAAAAGAAAATACTGTATTTACCCTCTCTTAGTCGTTCAAATGAAACCGTTTTCAAAGTGGAAAACAGTCCTAATTCCACATTCTTCAGAGCCGGTGATGCTTCAAACATTGATAAACAGCATCTAATGCGTGTAGAGCTTATAACATTTTTTTTAATGTAGCAAAATGTTGCTTTTCTCTTTTAACAATGAATTCCTCTTATCAGTACGGATGCTCACATCGAGCATAAAAAAGGGCATGCATATTGCATAGCACCAATGACACCAGACCAATAGTGTCCCTACCAAAGTTCAAATCAAACCTACGCCCTTGCGTAGAACAACTTCAATTTTATATTATTATATAAATGAAACCAAGAAAAGAAAAGTAATTGGTCAAAGCGACTTATCAGTTATAGTTTCTGTGTCAGCACATATCATATTTAGACACTTATTCAGCATAATGTCTAACTGGCCGCTGTTGGCCCCGGTCTAGAACCACCCATGGGGTTAGAGTATGTTTTAATTCACAGAGACATGATTTACAACTGTCACATTGTTTGTGTTAAGCCACCCACTGCTAAACCAAAAATATTGGCAGATTTTTCTTATCTGCATGAGAAAAAAAATGCTGCTGAGTGTATAAATGTCTTCTTTACTGATGAAAATAGCTTCTCTTAAATTGGCTCCCAGAGTCTGGATTAAGACTGAGGAGAAAGAAAATCTAAGCTTCCTGAGGTCCAGCGTGATCTTTCCTGTTTTGGTACCATGTTGTCTGCTGGGGTGGGTTCACTGCATTTTATCAGGTCAAGTAAAGTCAGAGCAGCCGTATACCAGGACATTTTAGGGCATTTCATATGTTCCTCAGCTGACAAGTTAATGTGGATTTTTTTTAAATATATTTTTTGGATATGACCAAACACCTGACTGAAACCCCACTAACAATATCTGGCTGTACTATTGGATTTTCTGTCCCAAATGTTTGTTCACACTGCAGATCACATGATCTGGTGCATGTTGGGATCTAATCTGAAAAGAGCATTTCTGTATCTACTCCTTTTTCCAAATAGCAAACAATGCTAAATAGACAAAAGGTTTAATTAAATATTTCGTACTTTTGTCATTCTGATGTTGGATGTTACATTTCTAACCAATGTTATCTACTTTGATAGGCCCAACGAGCTACTTCCAGACCTCTGATTTATATCTGTGAATTTCAAGTTCTGCAATAAATGTCAAAACATGAAATTTTTTCAGCCGTACCTGTGGTAAAAAAAAAAAAAAAAGCAGCCTTGACCAAACTAGAAAATTTTTAATTTTTAAATAAACTGAATGTTGGGTTTCCTTTACCTATAAAGAATAGTTGTTAAAGCTAAGATAGTTAATTGCTTAAAAATAATCTAATTATGCAGGTAATCTAGAGAATTTTAGTTACTTTGAAATCAACTTATCACTTTGAAAATTCCTCATTTTAATTAGATTATTTAGTAAAGAGAAGGGATCCATATCCTACAGTTTGTTTAATTTGAACGGCTTGTTCGGTTGTTATAATTAATTTCACACTCAGCTGGCAAACAGTTTGCATTCAGTCAGTCTAATTGGGTCCCGCTGCAGGACGGGACCCTGTTATCTGACTGGACAAAGTTTCTATCACTGTTAAATTCAGATGGGCAATTAACCAGTTTTATTGATTAATAATTTTTTTGTTTATAAAGATTTTGTTTTTGGGAAATCTGTTTTTTTTGTTTGTTTGTTTTTTCCCACCAATGCACTCCTTGGACTTCCATGGCTCACAGTAACATGAGTTCAACACTTTTTGTTCTTAGTTGTTTTCTCATAGTTGATAAACTGACTCACTGTGTTACCGCTAGCTGCTAACATTTACCGTTTTCCATTGTTTGTGGTCATGGTTATTTCACGAGCAAGTTTTACAGATTGAACTTTGTTTAATTATTAAATTAAGGTCACTTCCTGGAGGGAATGGCTGAAATCAAAGCAATATTTGTCATTTTTCTTATGAAACTTAAGAAAATATAAATGTATTGGAATTGTTAAGGGGGAAGAAAATCTTAGGTCCAGCTTTAAGCCATATTGCCCAGTCCCACTGTTAATCCCATCTCCTCACAGGTGTGCAGATTATAAAGTTATGATGCACTACAACCCATGACTTCAAACTTGTTTCATGTTGAAGCAGTTATATTTTAAACATAAAGTTATTCATATTTCTGTTATCTTTATATTCAATCATGTATTTATTGAATTTTAAAAAATGTAAATATTTGAGCAGCTCTATTTCCAGCAGGAAACTAATTACCACGTATTTGCAGCAAACCTATTTAAGCACTATACTCAGTAAAGTTTGGTTCTCCACTCGTTCTCGTTTTACAGTATGTTTTTTGCAGCGTAAATAAAAGCGGGATTATTTCACTTTAGTTTATGAAAATATTTTTTTCCCCCTAAAAGCTACCAAGTTCTAGACTGATTCCTGAAACAAACATACGCAAACAACCACACTGATCAGGATTAATACGCTGTAGTTTATTTTGGTTAAAGCAGTTTATCTGAATAATACTACTAGTGTTTTTTTTTTTTTTTATCAATTCTCCATCCGGTCGAAAGCATTTGTAATGCATGTTACCACTAAATCCCACCTTTCTGGATGAGGAAAATGTTATGTAGTGACAATTACAAAGCAGATGAATGTAAGAAAAAATAAATAAATGACAAGTTGAGTAAACATATTTTATTTATATACAGAAACCCTAAAATTAGGGTTTATATTGACATTTCTGAAGCGCTGTCCTTTCATTAATCCCATCATGAGGTTGAAGACCTCAAACAGCATCGTCACGTCGAAGTCTGGTACCAAGCTGCTTCCGTTTCAGTTCAACCTCATTCAAACCGGCTGTTGAGCTGCACAGCAAAAGTCCACAGATTTTCTATTCAAGCTCTATGTGGCTTCCTCTGCTTTTGGAACTACCTCCGCGTCTTTGTCTGGGCTCTGCTGTTTGATATACTGCTGCAGCACGGCGGAGAGATGGGCCGGGTGTCGCTGCAGCATTGAGGCAGTGCGGGAGGTTAGCATCGTGAAACCGCTGACGAGCTCGCCTTGAACGATAGTCATTGAGGGCAGTTTGGAGTAGCTCACTACGCCCTGGGCACTAAGCAGTGTGTTATCGATGCATGCGCCTGTGGAGAGGAGAGAGCAGAACACACATGTGGTTTAGAAAACACACAGTAGCTAAAATTATCAGCAATGAGATTTAAAGGAAAATTCTGGTTTTTAACACTTTAAGCCCATTTTCTGTAGTGTCCAGAATGAAATCGAATGATCGACACCAAAATTTTGACAATTGGTCCTGTCTCTGCTATTTGGCTCATGCAGAATCCCCCCCTGGCTGCTTCAGAATGGCTTCCATAGAGCATGTCCGATAATGTCCTTAAAACAACCTTAAACGTTCTTTTTTTTAAATATGCTACTCACCGGGTCGTCAGCGCTGTTCAATGACGTTCCAAAAAAAGTTTCGTAAAGAAAAAACGTTCCTGTAGTGTTTTATTTAGCATTTTGTAAATCCCATTGAGTTCTGTTGGAATAGTCAATATTCCTCCGCCACCGGAAACGGAAATGGGGCCTGTTTACACAGTTGTAGTCTTTTCGCTTCACTCTGTGTACTCCGACGTCGAGGTGCTAACGTCTCTGTTAAACACTTTAAAAAACTCTGAAAATGGAATACGAAAGGTGGATTCTTGAGGAGGACATATTGGACTTTGAGTTTGACGGTAGAGGATACCGTTTTGAACCGGAATATACTGAGGAGGAGTATATAGAGACATTGTCGCCAACTAGTGGTCTGGAGTGGACCACTAGTTGGTCAGCGGAAGCGGAAGTTTATAAGCGGTTGTGATGTATCGGAAAAAATAGTTCTGGGATTTACAAAATGCTAAATAAAACAAGACAGGAACGTTTTTTCTTCACGAAACTTTTTTTGGAACGTCATTGAACAGCACTGACGACCCGGTGAGTAGCATATTTTTAAAAAAGAACGTTTAAGGTTGTTTTAAGGACATTATCAGACATGCACTATGGAAGCCATTCTGAAGCAGCCAGGGGGGGATTCTGCATGAGCCAAATAGCAGAGACAGGACCAATTGTCAAAATTTTGGTGTCGATCATTCGAATGCATCCTGGACACTACAGAAAATGGGCTAAAAGTGTTAAAAACCAGAATTTTCCTTTAAGGTATTATAAAAAATCTGCACTTTTAGACATGAAAAACCGAAAGAAGCAGAAACAAATCAGATTAGCATGTGGGAAACCTACTCTAGGAATTGGCACTGGAAGAAGAGTAATACTTCTTGGATTTACCTGAACCGGTACTAAAAATTTTATAAAAACTGAATATGGAGTCTGTTACTAGCCAGTTTACAATCCTCTGCAGTTAAGTTTTTCCTATTGTATGTGATCTTAATTGGAAAATAAAAGCAAATATTCAAACCCAGTTGGTGTTTCCCTGCAGACATTCAAGTATATTAATAAAATAAGTTTTGTTTTAGGGATTTAAACCAGTAATCTCAAAGGTGTTTATGTTCTAATGGTACAAATTCAAACAGGAACTGTAATCTTATAGTTTACAAATACATCATTATCATGAAAAGAATTTTGAAATTATGGTCACAATGATGGAATTTATCTATTTTATCTGCTTTTTTTCAGCAGAGCACTGATAAATAAAAAAAAGTATATATTTTTTTTTTACAGTAAATATACATGAGTAGTTGTAAATGTTACAGTAAACAGTAATTTCCCTCTGGGATTATTAAAGTATTTCTGATTCTGATTCTGAAACAAGGTGCTGCAGGCTGGGTTACGCTTGATGTGTAGAACACAGCCTATGCAGCTTTTATACTCCATGGAGCTCCCCTCCCTCGTACCTAATATTCTGGCCGCTTTTAAGGCGCAGACCACAAGTTTACACGACACAATATGTAGAAGTAGAAAACACAATTATTGACCACATTTTCATAGTCTTTTTAGGTCATCCAAGAGAGATAGTCTTTTTTAAAGAGTTTTCTTTATAATCTGTTTATATTTATGGGCAAAATATAAGACCTATATAGATGTTTAAAAAGTTGCAGAACTTCGCCAATAGGAGCTGCAATGTCACAGGGTCCCACAATACTTGGGCGCCTGAAATGTATGTTTTTGATAATAATTACACTTGTTGTTTTAAATTATTTCTGTTTCTGTCAAGAACACATAAAAAAACTGTTAAAAATAAATTTTTTATTCAATTAAAATCTGGCAGATAGTGCCACTGTCAAAATTGGTTGAAGTTGTTTTAAATAATGTTCAAAACACTGTTCTAGAAATGAAGCTAACATAAACCAGGCTTAAATTTTCACTTTACAAAGTAAATCATGATTATACTATTACAATATATAGCAAAGCCTCATTTGAAATTGATAATCTCCCCTGCTTCTCCGTTTCTTTCAGGTAATGTCGTATTTTGGATGCTTTAACAATTCAGTACATCAGAGCTTATTCATGGAGGCAGGTAGTAAACATACCCAAAAGCGTCATCTGTGGGCTCGCCCTTAGAGCCGACAGCATCTCCTTCACCTTTGGCTCTTTGCTTACGAAGAGAACTGTGGGGCCGATGAACAGAGGAGCCATGTTGCTGTAAACAGAGTCAATCAGGAATGACCGCGTCACCTGGGGGGGAAAAAAAGGCAGAAAACAGAAAAGTTGGATAAGATCTTAAACAATAGTCTAATCCATTTAAATATTAATATTTATCACTAAAAGAGAAGCACTGATCATGCTTGTTAAACTTATAGTTTTGTCTCTATAATCTATCTGCCGGTTTTATTTAAATACCAAAAAATAAAGACTAAGTATAAAGGCTCAGATTTATGTTACAAGTTTATGGATCTGGATAGTAGTTCATAACAATAAAAGACTGCATAAATTATTAACACTGAAGATCAAACATGAGTTTGTGACACTTTTTCAGTATAACCTTTGCATCATAATGAACATGAAGTGTAGTTTTAATGATAATAAAGAAGATCCATTTTACCTGGTTTGGGAAGAACTTGATTCTAATGCCGTGTTTGAAAAGTCGATGTTTAAGAACCAACATGTCTTCAGCACTGCTGGCGTTTCTCTGAACCACAGCGATCATTCTGCACTCCTCAAACACTTTATTCAAGTCCTTCTTCAAGAGTAAAGCAAACCCATTTTCCTGATGGAAACAAAGAGAAGAGCTTGAGCTGCAGAAAACTGCAAATATATCATCATAAAACCGGTAAAATGTAGCAATGACATCTAAATGTGACCTGATTTACTTCTGTTTACATTATTTTAAACACAATAGAACACAAACATCAAAGAATACAGAGCAACACATGTAAAAGCAATGATCTGAAGTACCTTCAGTTCAGTTCAGTTTATTCGAACAACAAAACAATATAAGATGTGTAAATACAACACAACACAATGAATACATAAACCATAATAAATTGTTCGAAAAGGAATGGGACGAAGTATAAACTTTTAAGTTTCCCATCCCTAATGATTCAAGAGACCTAAGTTGCTCATTTAACTAGTTACATTCACTCTTCCATATTAATCTACCTGTTTTTTATCTTTCCTCTTCTACATATTTATCCAAAAGTAATTTTTTTTACCTTCTCTTAAACAAATTTATGTTCACACTCTGCTTTAAACACGGCTGTAGACTATTCCATAACTTCACTCCACTACTTGATATAGTCATTCTTTTCATCGCTGTTCGTATCGTCTTCGTTCTGAATACTGCATCTCCTCTAAAATTATATTTTTCATCTCCTTCTTGAAACAATTCATTTATATTTTTAGCCACTAGTTTGTTTTTTACTTTATACATTACTTGCGCTGTCTTGAATTTTACCAGGTCTGTGAATTTTAATGCATATAGCTGTATAAATAATCGATTGGTGTGCTCTCTAAATCCTACTTTGCATATTATTCTTATTGCTCTTTTTTGTAGTGTGCATATGGATTGTAATGTGCTCTTATAGATGTTGCCCCAAACTTCAACACAGTAAATCAAATATGGCAAAAACAATGAAAAATAAAGCATTTTTAGTGATTTTGGGTTCAATATACCGGTATGACTCGCCCTGCTAAGAATAGCACAGCATTTGGCAAGCTTATTTTTCACATAGCTTACATGTGGTTTCCAGCAGATCTTGTGGTCTAAAATCACACCAAGAAACTTTATTTCATTCACTTTTTTGATTTCTTTATTATCAATTGAAATGTTTCCATTAATCTCAGAATTCTTTCTTCCAAATATGATAAACTTTGTTTTGTCCAAATTAAGGGCCGGATTTATCAAGATCCAATTTTGCGTGCAGTAATTTGCGCTCGCAAACTGGAATTTTGCGCGAGGGGCTGAACCATGGTTTGCGGGTGATTTAACAAGAGTGATTGCGTAACTGGTGGAAGGTGCAAAACTGTTGGAGACGCCCTATTTAAATGATGGTTTTGCGCGTTTTGTGGTTTGCGGCAAAGTAGTTTGTAGTCTGTACAAACTAGTGCATTAAGAAATTTAAATCTTACAGTGACCCCCAACAAAAAAAATAAATAAGTAAATATATATATATATATATATATATATATATATATATATATATATATATATATATATTTATAAATTGACAACCTTTATTCCCTAAGGTGGTACTGTATGTGCTGCAGTAACAAAAAAAAAAAAAAAAAAAAAACAGGTGTTTTGTATTGGCCTGTGACTGTGGATGAGATCCCCGCAGCATTTGGCACGTTGCTCCACAGGCGCAGGGGGAGAACCCCGACCCCGTCGGACAGCACTTCTGAAAAAACGAGATTGGGAGATCCCAGCTCACGCTGCAACCGTACGCTGGAATGACCCAGATGCAAAAAAGTGCAATGTTGCGAGGAGTTTTGTGATATCTGGTATTGCGTGGGTCCTTCTTGTGGCTGGCTCCAAATCCATTCGGAGTTCCCCCAACAGCTCCAAAATGGCAATGCTGGATAAACGATATGTTTTGATGATCGTTTCCTCGTTCATTCCAAAAATATTCACACGGAGTGAAAAAATGCGTTCTCTGCGTCTCCTTGCTTTATTTCCATGTCTCCTTCTTGCGACAATAACCGCTGCCATGTGTGCGCAATTACGCATACAGACCATTTGCACCTTCTTTTGGAACGTGTTAAATATAGAGTCAGATACCGTTAGCAAAATTGCGTTCAAGTTTGATAAATCACTTTGCGAGTGCTAAATTAATATATTTACATGTTCTCCTCCCACAAGACGCACTTTAGCGTGTAAACGCCCCATATTGCATATTCATTGCAGAAAAAGTACTAAATGGATCAGAGGTGCTATTTACCACGTTTTAAAGACCAAATGCTTTTAGCACGCTGTTGATAGATCAGTTTGTACATTTTTTAGCGTGCGCAGTGAAATAGCTCACGTTTTAATACACGCAAACCTTTGATAAATCCGGCCCTAAGAGATAATTTATTTTTGTCAAACCAAATTTTAAATTTATTCATTTCTGTTCTAATTAGCTCCAAGATCTGCGGTAAACTTTCACCCGAACAAAATACATTTGTGTCATCTGCAAATAAAATCAATGACAGTGCCCTTGAAACTTTACAGATGTCATTTATATAAATGATAAATAATTTGGGGCCCAGCACTGAACCCTGTGGTACTCCACATGTAATTTCCAAGAGCTCTGATTTATGTTCCCCTATTTGAACAAATTGCTGTCTATTTCCTAGGTAGCTTCTTATCCAATCCAACCCAACTCCCCTTATCCCATACCTTTCTAGTTTGGTCAGCAATATGTTGTGGTCAATGGTATCAAAAGCCTTTTTTAAATCAATAAAAACCCCAACTGCCACTTTTTTATCGTCAATGCAATCTGTAATTTCCTCCATGAGTTGTAGTAGTGCCTGGGATGTTGATCTGTTTGACCTGAATCCATATTGATTGTCAGTGTATATGTTGTGTTTTTCCATAAAGATATCTAGTTTAGTGGTAAATAGTTTTTCAATTATTTTTGAAAATTGAGGGAGTAAAGAAACTGGCCTATAGTTTGTAAAATGGTGTCTGTTTCCGGTTTTGAACAGTGGAATAACTTTGGCTATTTTCATTTTGTCTGGAAATGTACCTGTTTGAAAGGACAGGTTACAAATATAAGTTAGTGGTTTAATAATTTCTTCCATAACAATCTTAACAGTCTTCATATCTATTTCCATCCAGTCAGCAGAGGTTTTATTTTTGCAGTTTTGTATTATTTCTCTAACATCAGTCTCAGTCACTGCACCCAGAACCCAGTCACTGCACCTCAGTTTATTGAGTTACACAGGTGATTAAGCAAAATCAACTGTTTATTAAAAAATGCAGCTTCCGGATTTGGATAATTTTGAAGAACAAACACAGATGAAACACACTGTGGACATGTTTTATTTGTTTTGTTTTGTTTTTTTATTCTAAAAAGGCTCATAGAATGATTATATAGGGTACTTGGTGCTGGTCCTTAAGGTCTCTGAATAGGGCGTGTAACATTGGTTGGGCTGAAAATGGCATACTTGCTGTTCTATGAGCCCTAATGTAAGCCTGGTTATAAGCCCTATAATGAAACGACAAGTTTTCTTCCTTTTATGGTAAACTCATGGATATATAGATGAGCTGGGTGCTTAATGGTTGGTTTACAACGAGCGAAGCTGCTGAGCAAAGACGCATCATAGCAACAAGCACTCACTTTACTGAAACATCAAATTGTTGATATGGTAGGGTGACCAGATGTCCGCTTTTTCCCGGACATGTCCTACTTTTCATACCTAAAAAAATGTCGGAGGAGAATTTTAAAATCATCCGAGATTTTGGTCGACTACAGTGCAACCCACCCACCAAACCCCACATGGGGGGCGTGACAAAAGTACAAGCCAGAACCAGAACATCCTTCAATTGCTTGTAGCTTCATATTTTTGGGCAATTAGCATTTTCACTATTTAATCAGGTGAGATAATGATAATAATTATGACGCCGGAATTAACCCCAGTGTCTCATCTAAAAATAGCCAACTTCCAGGTGTGTGACAGCAAAACTTTTTTTAATTATTACATTCTAAGTCTTCATGTTGTACATTCTAATGATTTCTCAGTTTTAGAATAGTGTAAGATTGATGGAAGAGGAGAGGGTTATCAGCCAGACACACCTGGATCAACCAGCAAAAACAGGAAACATAAATAAAGATAACATTTAAAAATCAGTTAACTTATTTTTATTTTTTCATCTTCCGTACTAATTTCATCTAGATGAGATGTAATTATTTTTTATCTATGAGCCTGAAATGTCCCCATATTTAATAACAGGAATCTGGACACCTTAGTCCAAATGAAATGTGTTGACATACATGTTCTGATAACTTCCCTATCATAAGCTACCTAATGCCAGTTAGGAAAAACACTTGTGCTATGTCATTATAATTAAGTATCTATTTAGCATCAATTCAGCTCCAATGAAAGGAAAGTTAATAACCGGGTCTCACCTCCTGAACCTGCTTGTTTTGGGACGGATAGACGCCCGGTGGAACGACTCTAGCTGGAGGAATGTACTCCGTTACGGCCAGGAGCTTCTGTTTGAGGATATGAAGAGGTTTCCTGTGACGGGTCACTGCTTTGGAGCCGTGACGGACACTTTGAACCAGCGGCAGCCATCCTGAAAGCCACAGAGTCAGTCTGAATTTGCTGCTACAACTGAAGCTGCAAAGTTAGCATCGGCTAGCAACGCAGAAAATCATCCAGTTCAATGGAAAGTTGGCAGACTATGACAATAACAGACATTTGTATAAACAGAAAACTACATTTACAACATTTTAAAGACTTAAATATGACTTCGAAACAAAACGAAGATGTTCTTTTTACCCTGGTTTCGTAGTAACGTTACACACAAGGTCGCGGCCATGTTGAACAGGAAGTACGTCATTCAAAGGGGAGAGTAGAACTAATGCTGCGTTCACTTACACGCCAATGAAAAGTATTATATACAACTAAACCAGTTAAAACTACTTTATTTTATCAGCCACTCCTTTTAAATGTTTTAAATGTTAAAGTTTACATGATGCAAGGAACTGTATCGTTGCTGAATGGATCTGTCTCTGTTAATTGTTGATTTTAAAACCTACATATGTTTTATGTAGTCATAGTTTTGGATGTTGCTTTTGTATGCTTTAATTGGTTTTAATGTAAGTGCATGTTTGTTTGTTTATTTCCTTTGCATTGCACAATTTAAGTTGATCTGTATATAAATTTTATTTTCTCTCTCTTTTTTTGTTTTTTGTAAGAATGCAAAGTGGAGATTCTTACTTGAGTTTGTAAATTATTGTTCTGTTCAATAAAGTTTTTTGGGGAAAAAAGACCTTTTAAATGTTTTTCATTTTGAGGGGGGTTAACATTAGAAACCTTTCTTTTTTAATACTTAATTTTTCATTAATAACTTCTTTTTACATTGCGTTTTACATTTAAATGTTAACTTTAAGTAATATGCGTGTTTATATGCAACTATATTAGCTACTGTACACAAATAACTTATTATTCAGATTTTACTTTGTGGCTATTTGTTTAACTAAATTTTAATATGAGTTGTATTCTCCAGACACTATTTGACTTCTCAGAATCAGACACACTTTAATAATCCCAGAGGGAAATTACAGAGGTGTTAGAAAATATGTGTTTCTTCCCCTCAGGTCAAGGGAAATAAAATGGGGGCAGATGTTGTTTCAATGTCACCCCATTCAGAAAATCTTTTTGTTGATACTGATACAGATTATTACATCCACCAAGGAGGTTTTTAGGATGGTTTTAGTGTGTGTGTGTTTATCTATCTGTGTACAAGATAACTTGAAAAGTTATGGAGAGATCTTAATGTCTTTTTTTTTTGTTTGCTTGTTTTTTTTTTTTTTATAAGAGGTGTCCCTCATGCCAAGGAACAATCCATAAAATGTTGGTGATGATCCAGATCGTGTATTTTTTTAAGATTCTGAGATTCTCAAAGTAAAAAAAAAAAAAAAACAAAAAAAAAAAATTTAAGCAGAAGCATCAAGACAACTTTGCAAACAAACACTCACACTTTTACTTAAACACTTACACTTTAACAAGAACATGCAAACTCCTTGTAGAAAGACCCTATAATGGGAATCAAACCCAGAACCTACTTGCTGCAAGGCGAAAGTGCAACGAACAGCGCCATCACGCGGTCTCTGATTCCAAAGTCAGGCACAGAAAAAAAAAATGGAGCTTTGCAAGAGCATGCAAGAAAACCCACGTTATTTGAACGCCTCATAACGTAATGACGTATTTTTTCATTGCCTTCAGTTAATTCCATTAATTGTCAACATTTTAATTCTGTTTTTGATTAATTCGGAGTAAATGTATATTGTTTTTCAGATTAACATTATTTTTACAAGATGAAAATATTATTTTTTAAGCGGAAGCAAAAACCCAAATGTTTCCATAATCCTTTACGTAAAGGTACGTTGCGTCATAGTCAGTGTGGTCAGCATGAGGCGCATACTCAGTGCGAGTTTATTAAGACATTTTAGCTTGTTTGGTAGAATTCCTCTCTGTCGAATCGGCCCGACTGTGCAGAAACGGAGCCCTTTTTACCTTAATTTCTGTAATAAAACGACCAGTAACGGCGGCGACATGGACCTGAGTAACATGAGGAAGAAATACAAAGGAGATGAAGAGGTGAGTTGCATTCAAAGCAGATGAGGTCAGTGGTGTTGGGCAATTAAAGCAGCAGTCTGGAGGTGTAAGGTCATGCAGCAGTATTTATTCTGTACATGGTTACTTAGACCTTGAGCTATGCCCTCTTACATCTATTTTTTTAAAGCATTAAATGAGCTGAGGGGACGTAAAGTGGAAATAAGTAGTGTGGTGTGCATGATGCATGGTTCATTATGGAAAATATAGACCTAAGTGAAATGATATGGAGTGTTTTGGCTGCAAGAAAAACTACAAAGTGAGATTTAATATTGATCAAAGATCAACAAAGTGGTGCATGCAAAATAGTTATAATTTGAATAATAATTTTAAATCCTCTCACACAGTTTTAAATGTATAGCTGAATGCTGAAATCCAGTAGGTCTGTCAAATCATTAGACGAAAAAAAATGCATCAATCAGCCACTATTCTTATGGAGGGACCTGGATTAAGATTTTATACAGAAAATGATTCAGAAAACAATTTCTGGGCATTTCTTCCAAATCACTCTGTACATGAAAGAATGTAGTTCATGTCAAACTGGGTTTTATTTTTATTTTTTTCTTTTAGACCAACTTGCTAAAATGTTTATATATAGGTTCTAATTGTTAGAATGTGTTACTGTAAAAAGCAGTATAGAACGCAGACCTTAACTTTGAGATTTCCAAGCCATAACAATACTGATGAATCCAGCAAAGATTGGACATTCAAACTAATTTAATTGCTGCAGTATTTCTAAACCAGGCAGATGAAAAATGGAATTAGAGAAGTTGGGAGACATACATCAAAGGTCACCTGGCTGGGACATGAAGCTTTGACGGCTGCAATGAGGACTAAGCCCCTGATCATCAGAATAATAATTTAACCTTATTGATCTCTGTGAGATAGACTAGCCAAGTGGATGAAGAAGGCAGTAGGCAGATGTCCATTGTAGCAGGTGGTTTGTTTACATTGCAAAAAGAAAAGGTGCAAAAATATATATATATATATTTACAAAAGAAATTTCCCAAAGAAATAACTCAGAGGTTTAACATGGCTCCACAGAAAATTAACTGAACTTAAATCAACCATAATTAACATCAAGTGAACACAGCTACACTGATCTGGTTCTTTCTTCTCTCTTCTGAACCTCACAATTGTCTGAAAGACAGGTAAGGTAAGTTCACCAAAATAAAACATGAAAGTTAAATAATCAAACAAAACCTAGAAAAGTTATTACCTGATTTAAACCAAGATGTTATAAATAATCTGTAAAAATGCAAACATAAACATTCCTGGGATAGTATATGAATGCAAACTACAGAATAAAGAGATGGTTAAATCAAGCTAACAAGAAAATAACAAATGAATAAACTGGGATAAATGGTGGTCTGAAACGCTTTGTCACAATCTCACATTAAAGAAATTTACCTCTGAATTTACCAATCTCCTTAGAGAGCAGTGGGTTGCCATCGTTCAGTGCTCAGGGAGCAATCAGGGATTAAGAGTCTTGCTCAGAGACCCAGAGTGGCAGTCTGTGGGAGTGGGGCTCAAACTCAGAACCTCAGGATTCCAAGCTCTATGCCCTAACCACTAGGCCGCCACTCCCCTTACAGATCCCATCATGGTTTGCGTGCTGTACTCCTGAGCCACCACTGCACCCCAGCCTTCCTGTTATCTGTTTAAAATTTTGTTCTCTTTAAATGGTACACTTAAAGAGAACAAGACATTTTTTTTTCTAGACTTAGAATCGGCTTTGCTCTGTTATCAGCACAGCAGACGGTGCAGTGGAGCGACTGCTGGTCAGTGTTTGCAGTGGAGGTAGGACCACCAAACAGTCATTCTAGGGTTACATTAAAACGACTTTTCTAAAAGCCAATTACAAACCTCTTAAAAGCATTCCCACATCACCCTTTGTCAACATTATTATCACTATCTTAAATTCTGCTGCCTCCTACACCAAAAAGAGTGATGCATTTATGAAGCAATAACTTACGGATTTGATGCTGTGATCAGTAATCGGCAGATACTGATTTTTGTGATTGGTGCTCAGCTCTCAAAATCATGACTGGTACTTTTCTAGTTTTTCCTGACATCATCTCTAATTTTGGTAGGTGGTATGACCCAGTAGGGCTTCCATACAGTCCCGCCACAGTAGGGGGGAAAAATAATTTTAGACATTCTAATTGGCTGATTGCCACTAAAGGCTTGTCAAATAATAGAAAGTCTGATTTTCTTTGTACAGCTGTGCAACATTCTCTAAAATTTCCTCTTTTCTGAATTATTTTGTGTGTTTCTTTATGCAGTGCTTTGAGGAGAGTCAGCTTGTATCTTTGGATCCCATCAAGGAATTTGGGAACTGGTTCGATAAAGCAACAAAGTGTCCCGAAATAGGAGAGGCCAATGCTATGTGCATAGCCACAGCCTCCAAGTAGGTAACCCTGTCATCTCCCAGCAGGTTTAAATCAATACATCATTGTTGAGTTTGTCATGGTGTCCCATCACCTCTGTCCAATCAGGGACGGACGTCCATCCGCTCGTATGGTCCTCCTGAAAGGTTACAGCCACGAAGGTTTCCGTTTCTTTACAAACTACGAGAGCAGAAAGGGTACTGAGCTGGTATGTCAGTTTATTTCTGCAGATTTAATCTAAAACCTGTATGTTTTCTTTTGGTTTTACAGGACCTCTATGAGGTTTTATTCAACATTTTTCCATTCAAATTTACAGAACAAATATATTTGATGCATTAAAAAAATGTACTGATTTGCTTAAAATTGTAAAATGTAATGAATAATGGTTTAACTTCAGTTTTCCCACCTCTCTTTGGGGAATTACCCAGTTATATCTGAGTGATGATGATGTTCATAGCAGGTCAGATTAAAAACAGATTATATGAAGCAAAAGCCAATATGGTCTCTTTTTCTAGTTTCTTCTTATTTTATATTTCTTTACTATGATTTGTATTGGCTTTTTTTTTTTCTTTAGGTCATGTGCCTCACTCTTAAAATTAAAAGTAAATTGTTATGCCTTCTATTCTAATATTTCATCAACCAATATGTTGATTAGAACGAGACATCGCTTTCCTTTGTGCTGTTTGATATTTTTAGCTATTTTGTGTTTGAAAGTTTGCCTTCAAAGTTTGTTTTTCACATCTATAAATCTAATTTAAATTTCAGTTTTTAAATTCACATTTTCACCGATATGATACTCTTTACTAATTTATCTGGAGCCATGTGGAGTTAAGTGGATGATTTGACCTATTGATTATTATTTCTTTTTATTGTTTGATCTCATTTGATGTTGATTTAATTTGGGAATTTTTTTTAAACTCTGATTTATTTTTCATTGGCAGGAGAGTAATCCATACGCATGTCTGGTGTTTTACTGGGAACCGCTTAACAGACAGGTAAAAGTTACTCTAAATTAAGTCCTGCCATTCATTCTGTTTCCCTGTTTTTCTGTGGTCAGTTTAAGCAAAGGTTTTGTCCTAGATCCGTATCGAGGGCTCAGTAGAGAGGATCCCCTACCAGAGCTCCTGTGACTACTTCCACTCACGGCCGAAGAGCAGTCAAATCGGGGCCGTTGTGAGCCGACAGAGTACTCCAGTTCCTAACAGAGATGTGAGAGATGGAGGACTGCGCCGTTTACATTCGTGCATTTAGGCAAATATTTGTTGGCTGATTTTGAGCATTTCTTTCAGTACTTGAGGCAGAAAAATGCTGAACTGGAGGAGAAGTACAAGGACACAGAGGTGCCAATGCCTGACTACTGGTGAGAATATCTATTATTACTAAATAATGTAACTCAGAACAGAATGAGTGATTCATTTAGTGCTCCAACTAATGATTATTTTGCAAATCGATTCATCTGTAGGTTTTTTAAGGTTAATTGATTAATAAGTGGAAAGCTAAAGGTTCCTTAAAGAATATTTTTTATAAAATTGAACCAGGTGAAACTAAAACTTTTCCACTTTAGGAGTTCTGGATAGAGCATATTGAGCGACAAAAATGTTTTTGTATTACATTTTTCAGTTAATTAATGTGTTCCATAACGTTTTGGATTATTAAATCAGTCATTTCAGGTCGAACAAAGGTTATTCTCGGCCGCCCTGGTGGTCTGTAGGGGAAATACCGTACTTGCAATTGCAGGAGCCCTCGGCCCGCACCCACAGGCTCAGAAGTCTCGTGCATCGCAAGAGTCTGTCTTGCTTTACGGCGAGAACTGCTACACGCCCCCAGTGAAAGGCATGCTTGTTGCTAGCACAGTGGCGATATTTGTGCAGTTATCATGTCGGAACCAGCGAGAAAACAGCGAAAGCCCATGTCGGAGCAGGCAAGAAAGAGGAAAAGGGCTCTGGACAGAGAGAGGAGTCGTATACGGGTGAACATCGGGCAAGCTTTTTCCGAATCGCGGGAGCTAAAAGACACTTTTACTTTCGCCCTCTGGGGGAGCCTCGCTGGAAAATCAACAGCGGTTGCACAGTATACCTTTAAATACAAAATGTTTATATATTTTTTTATTTTTAAAAGTTAGATATTATTACTGCTCTAAGTGGTTTGCCATGTCAGCTTTAGGCATGTTTTAGAATCTCTATACTCCAATTCATGATTTTTTATTTTTATAAAAACCCTGTACCCGCTCCTGAGAGGGAAGCTCTTTTAAACAAGTGCGAGAGCGTGCACGAGCCCATATCTCCTCGTGCATGCTCTCTTTAAAAGTTGCTATTCTCATATTTCATACAAGCTTACTGTGTCCGAGCGTCCACCCTAACCCCTTAATCTCTCAATCACTACATAGAGCAGGGAATATATAGTGAACTCAGTTAACTGACTGCTTGGACAGATGATCACTGCTTTTTGCTCCCTGTTGGTCACGTAAATCGTCCTCCTCCACTGCGTCCACTCCTCCATCTTTGTAATTAGTCGCAGCTCTCAGGTAGCGACTGCAAATCCCATAATGCTTTGCGAGGAGAGCTCTCTACGCAAAGCATTTTGGGATATATCAGCCTCTTCTGAGGTCTTTCTTTGCTTCTTATACACTTCGTAGACACTTTTTCTCTTACGACCCTCTGCCATTTTCAAAGAACCACACATATATGCCTGAAAGTGCACATGCACACAAAAAATAGCTAACTGGGGACGAGCACGTAGGACGGCCTTATGTAAACATATCACAGAAAGATTGACAATTAGGAGTACCACTTATTTAGATGATCCACCCAGAAATAAAAGATCGTCCTCTATACCTTTAATCGATTATTAAATTAGTTGACAATTATTACAATAATAGATTAATCTAATTAATTGTTTAAGCCCTTCATTAATTTATATATCCCTGGATGAAGAGCTAAGATGAGCTGTAATTGTAAAAATAAGAGGTTATATAAAATACAGTAGGGGGCTGAATATTGTTTTGTGTTGACTAGAAACATCAATAATAAACAGTGGAGTTTGTGGCTGTAATATGACAAAATGTTAAAAAGTTCATAAGGTATGAACAGATTTTTCAAGCTGCTTTTTTTTTAAGTAACTTTGCAAATGCTTAATCTATCTACAGGTAGGTATATCAGCTCGATCTCAAGGGTTTTTTTTCTCATTACTTTCCAAATGTCCTGTGATCTTCCAGGGGCGGCTACATGGTCAAGCCTCACTTGATTGAATTCTGGCAGGGTCAGACCAACAGACTCCACGACCGCATCGTTTTCACCAAGCTGAAGGACGGAGAGAAGCTGGGGGAGTTCCAGCACGAAGCCGAGGGCGGCTGGGTGTACCAGAGACTCTCTCCATGAGAACTCCCTCCACAGATTTTCCATCCAGAACATCATGAACTTAAGAAGTAGCCAACGAGTAAAATAGCTATTTGGAAAAACATTTGATGTTTGTTAAATCTGTGTCAAATGTGCCTGTAGTCTCTGACAGGAACCATCTGAATACTGTGTGTTGAAGCAACCTGACTGTACTGTGCAAATCCAAACTATATACATCATATAAAGAGTCAGAGCTTGTCTTTGCAAAAATATTCCAACCATTCAGTATATTTCTCCCATTTTAAATGTTATATTTTGGGCGCTTCGATTAGGGAGGGGCCTAATGAAGTGCATAACTGCTGTAAAGAAAAATATGAGAGATATGCATATGTATGCAGCCCTTTCTGAAGGCAAGGCAAGCTTACATAGAAAATTTCAGTTGAAAGGTAATTTAAGACAACCATCCACACAGTCACCATTTTTTCCAGCTGGGATGATGTATTAATGGTGATGTGCAAAGAGGAAGTTTTACAGAGTTTTGCATTTGGCATCTAAGTTTAATTACAGTACTATAATCATTGTGTTGGTCTAACACATCAACTCCTAAATAAAACATATTGTTGACACAATGTGAAAATAGTGAAATAGTATAAATTGTGCGAGTATAATCTAAAGGCTAAGTATGTGATGTCACCTTATGTGTGTCTTAAATAATTTTTAAATAGGAGCAGAGGTGGTTTGTGGAAGATTGCTGAATTGAGTTTAATGTCTTTCCTGGGAGTACTTGGAAAGGTAATTAGTAAAAATGGCATTTATAATAGTTATCAAGAAAACTTTTCATGCAATTTTTTTCCAGTTGCAATAAATATTCAAGTTTAAGTTGACGTTCAAGAAACTTCATGAATGATATTGATGTCATAGCCGTTTATTTAGCATTTACACTTTAGGATATTAAGCATTTTACCTCCGCTTATTAGCAGGGACTGTCATAAAATCCCTTCAGAAATTAATTTTAATGTTTCTTGAAAGAAATTCTTAAAAAGGGTATGACTTGTCTTTTAAATGGAAAAAGTTCTGACTTCAAGTTTGATAAAATGATTGTTGCAGATTATATTTGCCTTTTAATGCTGAGATTAAAAGTGCTGATTGTGTCAAATACCGTGCCAATTACCACGTGTCTTGTAAAATTTGTAAAGTTGTTCACTGTGTGATCTTTGACTTGAACTGTAATAAAGTTTCATTTTAAGCAACACAATTTTGACATTTTTCCAGCAGGTGGCAGCAGAATATGTACCGAAAAAATATAACATCCGAGAAAAGTTACATTTTGTAGCTTAAAGGTATATTTCAAATCAGAATTTGGTTGATGAGCTTGCATTGGCAGTGCTGCATCATTAAACAATGACCAGCAGATACGAGTTAAGTGTCAGTTGCTAGTGTCCGTTTACCATCACCAAGTCAACGAAACCTACCAGCAACTGTCAAGGGAAACAGCAAACTTTATAACATGATCTCACTTCTATCAACTTGCTTACAGCACAAACCATCTTAGAGTTTCCTCCTGAATTCAGAAATAATCAGCCAACTGAACAGACACCATTTACAAGAAGAGAATGACGGGAAGTTTAAGTTTTAAACAATTTTTCTACCTTGAATAACATACCTATTTCTCGAAAAGAATACTGTTTCTTCAGCTTTTTATATGGGTGCCTTTCTACATAATAGCACTATATGACCAAATAACTATGTTACTTTATGTTATAACAATTTATATTTGCATGTTTGTGGCTCAAAATTCTCTGTTCAATGAGCTTAATATTCAAGAAAAGGGAGAGAACTAGATTAAACTGCAGTTAAAGTTCAGTAGTCTAAAAGCTGTGAGGTAGAAACCGTTTCTAAGTGTGGTGGTTTTGCTATGGATGCTTCTGCCTGCCTGACGGGCAGCTGCTAGTGCCACTCAATGATCCAAGTGCAGAGAAGCCTCCACCAAACAGCAGAACTGAGGTCCTGAGTCCAGCTGTCTGCAGCTTATTGAGGAAGATGAGACACTGATGGGTTTCCTGACCAGACAGGGAACTGTTGGAACTCAGGGTAAGGTCACTGGAAAGATGCACCGCAGGTATCTGTAGCTGAAGACCAGCTCCACAGCTGCTCCTCAGTACAGAGATGAAGATAATCCTCTAACCTTCTGAAATCCACCACTATCTCTTATTCACATTGATACAGAGGTTATTGTCTCTGCACTACTGTACCAGGTGTTTAAACTCCTCTCTGTATTTGGACTCATCTGTTTGCGATGCATCCCACTACTGCTAAATCCTCTGCACACTTCCCTATATGACAGCTGGGGTGTCCGATTGAGAATTTCTATGTCAGCATAATAAACAGGAGGGGGCTCAGCAAGGAGCCAGGTGAAGGAGTGTTGAACGAGATGGAGGAGGATATTAGCGGATCCTAAAAGTTTGAGCTCTGTTGGTACAGAAGCCAGTTTCCCAATGTAGGACTTGGTCTAAGAGAGGAGAGCATTTGCACCAAGATATGTTTAATGAGGGATGCAGGTACCATGTATTTCTGCTCTCCAGAAGGCTTTGTAGACCACGGCTTTGGCCTTTTGCAATGTCTGCAGTTATTCCTTTCCTTGCCTCCCTGAGTGAGAGTCCTCATCTGTCTTGAGCACAGCATCCCTAGCTTTAAGCAAAGCTCTCACCTCAGCATGTACCGAGGGTCTCTGGTTCGGCTAACAGGTCTCTGTCCTAATGCTGGTCACTCATATGTGGCTAGTTCTCTGAAGACCTGCCAATAATGTAAACTGAAAACAATCCTGTAGCACAGCGGCTCTATCACAGAGCCACAAGTTGACTTCTTTCTTATTTGACATATTCTGTCTCAATGGTGGTGGATATGCTGGCAGCAACAGGATGGAGCTGTGGTAAACAATGCCAAGATAGGGTTGAGGATGAGCTCTATGTACGATGCACCATGAACTATAGTGTACAAGCATGCCAGAGAACTGTCTCCACACATGCATGGTGCAGGGTGTCAACATTTAAGCAATGGAGACAAACACCACAGTAAATTTGAATGGCAGATAGTATGGCAAACATTTCAGTGTCATTTGTTTTATTGCTTTAGAGCATTTCACTAGCAGGAAAAGAATGCATGGAGCCTCATAACCATGTAACTGGTATAGTGTGCAGAAACATCTGAGCATTATAGGAAGTAGAGGCCCCACAGGTCAAAATGGTGGTGAAGAATGATAGAGCTATGATGCTGTGAGACTTCCAGATAAAACAGACGCCCTGGTTGCTAATGTAGGGTTTAAAACATTACCAGCCTTGAGGAATGCTCACATTGTTTATTACCAGTCAAATGTAAAAACTTAACCTGGGGCTACAGTTTATGTATCTGAAAAGGAAACTGGAATGTGCTGGATTTATTTTCCCTCAGTTACCACCAGATAAGGAATCAAGACAAATGCTACAGAAGAATCAAAATTTAACGCAACTACTAAAAGCTTAGTTTGTCATATTTTAAATATTAGATAAACTAAGCCAGTGGTGGATGAAAATCTAAGTTAGCTTGGACTATGTAAGACTATCAGAAATTACACATCAACTCTGAAAAGAATAAAACTGCTGAGAACAGATTGAATATTATTGCAAGTTTCTTATAAGTAACTTCTGCCATCTGTAAGTATTTATTAGTGCAATACCTCACAGCCTTTTGATCTCTGAGTAAATCCTACATTTAAAACAGAAATGGACGACGTGCTTGGAGAAATTTAAAACAGAGAAAATCACAGGGTTAAAACCAAGTCAAAATACTGTTTAACTATTGGTATTTATGAGAAAAGGTATGTATATTGGATGTGTTTTAATAACATTACACTATTTAAGTTTTTTTTTTTTAACTAGAGATATGATGTACTTCTGGCACTAAAGGGATATTGCATATTTTTGTGTTCATTTGCACTGAGAGAGGCCATTTTTTCGCACCTAAAAGTGCTTGCCCGGAGGTCAATAAAACAGTTCAAGTATCCTATGATGGAGGCCCAAGGTAGGTGGTAATAAACCAAATTTGAAACTATTGTCATTGCTGTTCTTGTCTCTTAATGAAATCTACTACTTAAGCAGCAGCATCAAGACAACTTTTTGCTCTATCCATGCATCTTTTCCCAGTTAATGACTCAGGGTCGAGGTGGGGGCATTGCCTATCTTCAGCAGTCTATGGGAGAAAAGCAGGGTAGACCATGGACAGGTTGCCTTTACATTGCAGGGTGACACAGAGACACACAACCATGCAAACACACACTCACACTTAAGGACAGTTTAACCTAACAGTCATATTTTTGGACTGTGGACGGAAACTGTAGTACCTGGAGAGAGCCCACACATGCACAGGGAAAACATGCAATTTTTAATTTCATACTTTCTCTTAATTTTTAATTTATAAAGAAAATACTAGATGAGTCATAACACTGGAATTAAGCCTATTCTCAGTTTTCAACCTGAACCTTTCTGCAATATTTATACTACTATAAACAGACAAGACAAGTGAAGATTTAAATTCAGCTGCCTTATATTTATTTATCTTCTGTTCCAGTAAAAAATATGACTTTCAAAGAAAGACAGAGCTCTTTTTATTTTTCAAAAACAACAACTTTCCCAGATTTTCCTACCAACAAGTTGTGCCACATTGCTCAGACTTTATTAAAAACACACAAAAAAAACATTTCCTTTTTGTAGTTTTTTGTCTAGATAAAAATACGTACTATTTAGAGATGACATTGAAGGCACCAAATGGAGGTTTAGTACACGAGTGTCTAATGAGCTATCCTCTAAATTTAAAAAAGTAATAAAAAAGTCAAGTTCCATAAAAGTGCACTGCAATGTGATTTACTCTATAAAAGTACTATGAATAATACAATTTGTAAGCTTCTTCCCTCTGACAAAATAGGTGGCTGTCGTTGTGTCTCACCAACCATAATTGTTGTTATTGTTACATGTATATCTAAAATAACATTCGACAAAAATGTTGAAACAATTTATTCCAAGAAATAAATTAACGTTAGCCCCGAAAATCTTTACAAAGTTCATTTACAAAATTTATAAACTTGTATTAGATTAATAGAAAACTCATTAAATGACTATTTATTAGAACTATACAAACAGATAAAGAGCCCTTACAAAAAAAATAAAATAAAACAATTATGCAATTATGGGATGAAGTTTTTTTTTCTTTTTTCCCCCAAAGAATTTAGATAAATCTTTTCTGGATTTAGAAACCAGTTTTTCGTAAGAGCAAGTATCTTCTGGGGCTACAAAAAGCATAGAACATATTGTCTGACATCTCATATTTTCGTTGTTTTCTGTGGTCTCTCCATCAAATTTCAGCTTAATCGACCGTATCTTTTTAATAATGTCTAATTTAAAAAACGAAACCAATAACTGTTACACAACACAAAGGCAGTTAATCTACTTCATATTAACGCTTAGTTTCAAAAAAGAAAAAAAAAACAACAACGGCAACAATAATAAAACCAGCACAAACATAAAAAATGCTTGAGACCATTAAAACATTGGGTTTTAGAATTCAACATTTACAATCTGGAGAAAGGTGATTCCAGGACCAGTCCCTGATATGGTTTTTGAATATATGACGATTGGTTTTAAGATACTCATTGTTAGTTTCAGTTTGGGTATTCACTTGGGTTTGGTACATTGTGACAAAAACGGGTGTGTTTTTGAACCTTGGTCAAAGACGTGAGTGATTTATGACACATTTGTGATTGCCATGGTGTATTTTGCTATTTGTCCGTCGTGTTTTTATGATTCTCATTACTTTGCTCTGCAAACAGACTTGGGTTCTCTGTCAGTGTGGCCCGGACTTTCTTTTTCTCTTTGAAGCGACCGGAGTTGGACACTTTGACGTGGCGGCCCTTGGTGGCAGATTTATCCACTATCTTCTCCAGTCTGGCATTGAACTGGCTGTCCTTATTGTCTGGAGAGATGCCTGCTTGGTCTTTGTTCTCATTGTTGCTTCCATGCTCTGCAGGGATTTCATACAAAACCTTAGGTTCAGATTTCTTCTTGCGTGAGAAGGTAAACTTCCACCAGCTTGACTCAGCCATGGCACCAACACAGACTGGAGGACGGGCCTGCAGAGACCAGAGTACACAATTAAGCCTGCTTTTACCATTCAGTCAAATCTACTTTCTTTTATTCCCCAGTCAACCAGGGATGTCACAAAGTATGTGGCAAAGATTTATTCCAAGATGGCTAATGACAGGCAAATATTTTCTACCCAAAATGAATCACATTTTAGTCACAGAAATATAAAAAATGCATTGGAGAAAATCTACAATTTATATCCAGAATAAATGAAAGATTAAAGTTTTCCAAAGAATTTTAGAACTACATAAAAGAGGGGAATGGTGGTCTATGTGGTTAGGGCACTGTGCTTGGGTCCTGGAGGTTCTTAGTTCTAGTCCCACTCATTCCCAAAGACTGCCACTCTGGGTCCCTGAGTAAGACCCTTAATCCTAGACTGCTCCATGGGCAACACACAATGACAGCCCTGTGCTCCCCAAGGGGATTTGTTAAATGCAGAGGGTGAATTTCCCCATAGTGGGACAATAAAAGGATTTACATAAACATACATTTGCAAGAAAAGGCTATATATGAAGTTTTACTTTACTTTCTACAAAGAGATGAAATTAAATTCTAAATGTACAGTTATAAAAACTGTATTTTATTTTAGTGCTATAACATAAATGATTATTAACATATTTAACATGGAGAGATGATACTTTTTTATAATCTACATAATTGGAAAAGAGATCAATTTCTGAGCCATCCTTTGCATGTATTGCAGCCACACTGCTTGCTACCATAAAGCTACTGTTGTCTGCCCTCTGTGCTTCATAGATAAAGTTAATGCTTATAAAAGAGATAAGCTTACTAACTGGATATTCAGCGTTAACTTTCACAAGGCAAAAAATCATAACACATAAAAAACAATCCTGTTCGAATCATTTGCACATTGGAGTTACTAAATGCTATTTTCCTAACTATTTTTACTGTATATTTTTACATAACTACAAAAGAAAAATAAACAGTGGGTATTTTCTATACTTTTACAACATTGTGAGGATCTTTTGCTCCTCATGGGAGACAAAGCTTTGCCCTGATACAGAAAAGGTGTTGATTTGGGGTTAGGTTTAAAGAAAAGGAGTGAAATGATTAGGTAAAGAATAAGGATGCATATGTAACAATTAAGTTTAGAGTCAGGGTTAGGCCATAGAAATAAATGGAATGCAGTGTGCTTGTCATGGTGTGTGTGGGTGTAGGGTTAAGATAAGTTGCTTTGTCCTTTGGAGCATTGTAACCCTGGCTGGCTTCCACTTCCTGCTGTATTCGCTACAAATAAAAGTAGAAGAAGAGTAAAAAAAAGTGGCTAATTTAATGTCTAAAATAACAAAAGAATGATTTCAAAAGACTATCTTCAAACATGCTTTTGGTTGCAGCTTTGTGTTTGAATTAATCTCTGTCCATTAGTTCAAACGTACAAATAACAGTGTGCTCTCCTTATGTACAGAAGGTTCTGCTCTATAGGCCCTTTCTTAGAAAGCTGAGCGTAGCCATTGTTGCTCTGTTTCACCTGCTCCTCATCTCTTTAGTGAGGAGTTGGAGTGACACCTGACACCTTGGTCTCAGCTGCTAAATTAATGATTATCTGAACAGGATCCTGTGTGACACCGTGTGATCTGATATCAAATGGCTTCTCACTGAGCTGTCTGCAGTCTGCAGAACAGAGACTACTGTATGGTCTTACTGCTGATGTTGTAACAAGTAGCTGTGCAATTATCTGGATTGATTTTATTGTGTGAATACATGTACACTTCTGTATCCCACTTAAGTGTCCCAGACATCAAAAATCTTTGAAAAGATAACACCAGAAAAAAGGCATTTTTTTTTTTTTTTACAGGGGATAATATATATCCTGAACCAACCTGACACTATGTGAAAAATTAAACAGCCTGCAACTGTGATTACCTACTTTTTTTTAAGCTGGAACCAATTGATGTTGCTTAAGTTGCCATGTCTACGTCGGTAGAACCGAGAAATTGTTTGTCTGACTAAATTAAATCAGTAAAAAGTTTTCAAAAAGCAATAAATCGTTCTCAGAGCTGAATAAATTTAAGAAAATGTGAAAAAAAAAGTAATTGAATGACTGGAAAAAGGTTAAAGGTTAAGTCATTATCCACAAATAAAGAAAACATGGAACAGTGGTGAACCTTCCCAACAGAATATCAGCTGATCGACTCTACCCGGGACATGGTAAAATCATAAAATAACAAAATAAAACAACGTTTTCTCTTGCTTTGTTTGCTTTCAGTATCTACGATTCAAGAATATGAATAAGATGAGAACAAAATGTTTTTTTATGCGAGAGATATAAGGATAATCTATTTAAAGAACAATGAATATAAAGGAATGTTTCGCATTGGTCCAAGAATTTTTTCATGTTTTTGAAACGAGAACTTTATGCTAATTGTAAGGCCAATACTGTAGCTTTTCAGCAAAAGAACATTATGCTACTAGTCAAACACGGTGGTGCTGGTATTGTCAGTGTCTGCTCTGCAGCTTCAAGGTTTAGATTATTTGTTATAATGTAATAATATATAATAATATATATATATTGATATATCTATAATATATGTATTTGTTCAATTGAACCATGAATTCTGCTGCACCAAAAAATCCTGACAGAGAACGCCTGACCATTACCTTGTGGTGATAAATGCAACTAGTAAGGATTGCACACAAAGACAATAATCTAAAGAACACCATCAAGTCAATGAGAGAAAAATGAAAGTCTAAGTCTGGACCTTAAATCCAGCTTAAATGCTTTGATCTGACTTTAAACATAGCACCTCATGCTGCAAAACTCCCCTATGGAGCTAATGTAAAGAAATTCAGCAAAAATGGGTAGGTCAAATTACTATGTCACTTTGGTTTATCTAATTAGAAAATAAAACTATTATTAGAAAACGTTTTTCTATTCACTCATTGTCTTGTCTAGTATTAGATTTAGTTTAATGATCTGAAACATGCAAAAAACACATGTTTGAGAGGACAAACACTGTTCCATAGCATTGTAGATACACAGGAAACAATAACCTCTGTAATGCACCGTTGCCTGGCAACCATACAGCTAAAACAAATAACTTTTCAACAAAACAATCATTAACTTGGTAATCTGAGTGGATGGATCATAAACCGGTTTATGGAGCTCTTTTCGAAAATGGTCCCTGATACATCAGCCTGTTCAGTTGCTGTTTTTTTCTCAATACCTTGTTTTGAAGGTTTTCTTAAATGTTTCTATTGTTATATAAAACGGTTTCTCTTAGTATTTCTTTGTTTTGATTTACTGTTTTATATTACGACAGATTAAAGATATAATTCGCAAAAAGCTTCAATAATCCAAACACTCTGATGATGTCATAACTCAACTTCAGGGTTTTAAACGAATGTTTAACTCTGTGGAAAAGTAAAATGGCGGCACGTTACTTGATTTGCGTTGAATCGGGAGGTGTGCGAATAAAATAATAGTTACTAAGGTTTTGTTATTGAACTCATATCCAATTTCTAATTTCAAATGTTCTTTATCTCTTATAAGCCAACAAGCTACTATATTAGTTTTGTTAATTGAGTCGGATGTTTAGATGTGCTTACATTTAAAGACTGAAGCTTTTTTTTAAAATATTATCTCCTTCAACTGAAACGGTTAATCAAGCAATAAAAGATGTTAATTTTTATCAGTTTTTAAATACTTGTTGGAAAGTTGGGAGAGATCAAACTGAACAATTCATGGTCATATTTCAGTCTTCTTTTATTACTCATGTGTTTAAAAACTTTGATAATTAACTTTTAGTTTTTCTATCTATTGTTTTAAAAATTTAATGATCAGTTTAAAAAAAATTAAAAGAAACTAAATTGCTTTACATGAACATTGTCTTCTATTAGATAATGTTTTATGATAGTCAACACATTCCTGAAACCAACCGCTTACTTTCCCTTTTGATGAAAGAGTGTCAATCGTAAGCGAAACAATAAGTGACTCCAGGTTGCAGAGATATAATAGCACATATAGTGTGTTCTTTTTTGCAATAATTATGTGCATTATTATATTATTTGATTTTTTTTTTTGCACAACCGGTCCTGGTCTAAACTGCTCTGTGACTTTAAATAATTTAGCTCATCATTACATCTGACCTGTACTGGACCTCAGTCCTGTGGTTCCAACACCAGTCAATTCGAGCAACTACTGTTTATGGCCAGAAGTCTTCAACGTTTTCCAGGTCGAGAACCCCCAACCTAATAGCGAGATGGAGCAGGGACCCCCTAATTATATATTGCAGAAATTGTGTTACATCAAACTGGTCCTATATAGTCACTCTATTACAGATGAAGTTACGTAATGAAAGTAATTTCTCCCTGGGATTATTAAAGTATTTCTGATTCTGATTCCTGGTTAATGGGACAGGTGTTGTGAATGAAACGGTGCCCAGCTTGAAAGAGCTCCTGTGTGTCGCTGAATGTGTGCATTGATGACTGAAAGACATCTTCTGCTCCATTTATCTGTTTACTACAGTGTGTTGAATTCATGTTAATGTGATTTTAAAGACATTTTAATTAGTGGAAAAAATTGCAGGGGGGAATATAAAAAAAAGTCTAATCAACCAAAACAAACCAGTCATGTGATCACTAAACTCTTAACATTTCCTTGTGATGATTATACTGTATATTATATGTTCTTTGTTATGTATTTGCCTGCCTAGGGTCTACGGATGAAAACTAGCTTTGTAGCTATAATCCGGCATATTTACATTTGTTTTTATACTGATGTTCATTAATGCGCTTTGTCCCTATTAATCTAAAAAAATAAAAGGTTTCACGACCCCCGTGCAGTACCTCCGTGAACCCCCTAGGGGTTGCGGACCCCCTGTTGAAAACCTCCGGTTTAAGGTGTTCAAGTAAAATGCATTAGTTAGCAGTGTCCTAATTGAACAAAAGAAGAAGACATCTTCAGGGCAGTAGTAGAAGTATTCAGTATTGAAACACAATACTGTAAATACTTATCAATATCTAGCACATATGTCTTTTTTGAAAAATTTTTTTGATCAGCTGTTTTAAAGTATGTAGCAACATAATATGTGTAAAATAATTATACTTTCAGTCACCCAGTAAAATGGTGGCAAATGTTTCCAAATCATACAAAATGCAGACCTTTTATGATTGGCCATGTTCATTTCAGGAAGAACGATTGCTTTATCTTTAAAGATATAAAAAAAAGTATCAGTGATTATAAATCTAAATTAGGTTGTATTAAATTAATTCAAATTACCCTCCTTTTCCCAGCAAAGGATGGATTTAATTCCTTGACATATCTTAGTGTGCTTTATTGGACCTCTGGGGACTGTCTGAACACACCCGAAACTAAGCTGACAATGAGCGCTGCAGATTGTAGGCCGAGCTTTATGAGCTTCATAAGAGCAACAATATCCCTTTTATGAGGGCTTAAAGGAAGCAAAGAGGCGCACAGATCTGCCTTTGGTGTGGTCATTTTTATCATGAAGCACCTATGCAAATAAAGAGCCCGTGCCCTTTCACAGAAACTCTCATCGGACTCTTATCTGGATCATGTGACACCCGGCACTTGGCACGGAAAGTCAATGGCCCGAGGCGAGGATATTTCAGATTTCATTTTGCATTTTGAGTTCCAACTTCTGATTTTAGTCTGTTTAGTGAGTTTTACCATCCAACCCTGTTTTACATAATTAAAACAAATGATTATAGTATTCCAAAAGGATATAAAGGATTTGATTTCTCCAGTTTTAATAGTTCATAATGCTCTATTTCAATCATTTAAAGGAGATTTTTGACTCTCTGATGTGCATTTTCTGCACGCTCACATCAAATTTGTGACAACAATGCAATATGCACACATATTTCTGTTAGTGAGTCGTGTTTGACTTAGATGTGACCTTTGAGACGAAATCTCTTGTTCACATAAAGGACCCCCCCCCCCCCACTCGTTTTTAATAAGTCACCGTGTATTCTGTTGTACGTCCGGGCAGCACAGCTTGAGCAACTTCCAGAGATCTCAGGCGGGGGGAAAAAGAGAACAGACTTGGAAATGACTAACCAGAGGCGATATGTTTAAGCAGAGACGGAGGTATGGGGGGGCCTCTGAGGGCATCGGCCCCTCCTTTACTTTCACCATTAGAAGACTCACTTCAGGTCCTCAGGTTTCCCCTGTAGTAACAATCTCACTGCTGACTCTTGGCAGACAAGTTGACTTTGTTGATAAAAGAGGCGCCATGCACGGCGTATTAACTCCCATGTCTTGGTAATAAAAGGAACCAATTTATTTTATAGCAGCAAAGTCCAAGAGATTATTATCGCTTTTATGATTTATCTTGTGACAGCGAAGACTGGTATCACGTCTTCCCAGTTTCAATTGTGCATAATATTAGATAACAGTATCACTAGACAGGTTTCTGCCAACTACCTGTTGATGGCTGCAATTAAAAACTTAAAGTGTGTTTAATCCCCAACTGAAAAACAGCTGTAAAATGTCAAACTTAAATATCAGTAACAACAATAACAACAAAATTATAGTTTAACAAAATATTTCTGCATTTGAACGCCTAGAAAACAGCCAGAAAACAGACTCGACAATTGTTTTATGAAGCATCCATATATATTTCATCCATAAATGCTCACGATTGATAACTGAAAGGTTGCAGTTTTCTAAATTTCAATGCAATATTAGAGTTTAAGGAAATATTTTCTCTTATATCACTGAAACTCTTTCATACATAGCGTTACAGACATGGTACTACCATCTGTTGCAGACGCGAATCAGGTTTCACATGGAGCTCTTCTCTTACCTCAGGGACAATGAGCTGCCTGCCTGAAGGATTCTCTCAGATATAAAGGTGTCCCATCATGTTGATCAACTCTGTCCCTCTTCACACTGCAGCTCTTTAAATCTTCTGATTCTTCTCCTCAGGTGATCATGAACAGGTGTAGCATCTCTCTCCCTCTGCCTAACCCTGCAGCCTTGCTCCCCACGTCCTCCTCTTAAAAGCACACCCTTCCCAAACACACACATAACTAAGGCCCGCCCAGCTGAGTGCAAAGCAGCGCTGCAACATTGTCACCAAGCGACCTTCAGCATTGCAAGGAGCAATTAAAATCTTTCTTTGTCTCACCTTGAAAGGGAATGTTGTTTTCTTAAAGAGGAAATTGTCTGCAGGAAAAACAATATTTTTCCAGTTTTAGAGTGAACAAAACTGGAAGCTTAGAACTGGAGCAAAGGAGAGGGATTTAGAAGTGTTTTGCATGGCTTTGTTTAAAAATCACAGACAGCAAGCGGATGCCTTGGTGACCATTCAAATGAGCTGAAAATAAGGCCTTGTGTGAGAGTTTCTACCATTGCTCCTGCAGGGATTGAAGCAGGAGATTTTCATGACTTTCTAACTTAATTTCAATAATTCATTGCTTATTAAATAGAATACATAAAGAACTTTCATTTTGATGTTTTTTTTCCCCTGACAGTTGAATGTTTCAGATAATAATACACATTTTGATATCAGAGATAACCAAAATAAATACAAGAAAGAGTTTTAAAAAATAAATTTCATAATAACTATCAATCCAAGTGGTCCGATGTGAAAAAGGGATCACTCCCTACACTGTAGGCTGCCATTAAGTATTTATGATAACAGGTTGTGCGTGGGTTATTCAAATATGGACTTTGTGGTGTGCTTTAATCATCATGAAGCATAATCCAATTGCATTAAAGGTCCCAAATGCATCCTCCAAGATTTTCTGCTCAAGAGGAGAATGCATTGTTCCAGCAGCCAAGCAGCTCCAGACCATCACACTACCACCACCATTCCAAAAAAGTTATAAAGAAAACAATCCACTGGACTTTGTTTACAAATTTGAACACATCTTACCTCGTATCCAGGAAGCTTTTTCAATTCAAAATATGTCCAGTGGATTGTTTTTAAACTTTTTTGGAATAACTATGACCTGGATGACTGAGAATCTCCACCAGCATACCACCATGAGACTTTTAAAGTGATGTTCCACTGACATGTTTTTGTGTGTTTTCTGTGAGATGTTACAGGAAGCCTGCCTTCCAAAAAGTTCTACTTTGGTCCAATCACTCCTCATAATGTTTTCCCTGAAATTCTTGTCAAGTATCTAGATGTTTTGTATGAGAGATAAATGTCATGCTCTTCTCGTTCAGCAGGTGTCTTCACATTGAATCATTACCTCTGACCTTTACGGCAAGTGAGGCCTTCTGGGTCCTTTTGTGATCTGCTTTAAAAGTAGCTGACATACTTTTTTGAGTAACTTAGAAGGTCAGATACTCCTGGAAAGATTTGCCAAGTATGATTTCCTTCTCAGTTTGTAGATTATGGCTCTTATTGGTATTCACTTGAGTCCAAAACTGTTTTTAAAAAGTCTTTATAAACCTTTATAGAATGATAGTATCTTGGTCAGTATCTATGCTTGAAATTTTAGACTAAAATATGGTGCTTTTAAATGGTTTACTTACTTTCCTTTTTTTATTTTCTTTTATGAGTCTGGCAGTAGTTATACAAGAGGCTGCAAATAGTGAATAATGCTTTCCAAAATTTTTTATTTATTTTGTAACTAGTTACATTTACTCATTTACATTTACGTGATCAACTTTTTCAAAAGTACTTATAGGACTAGTTTTATAGTGTTCTACTTTTACTTGAGTAAACTTAAGTAAAATTTCTTACTTGAGTAAAATTTCTGGCTACTCTGTCCATTGTCAGTAACTTTATTTAATGAAAACAAGCTTCTTCATATCTTTGATCAGATATTCACACGTTCTCCCTTTTTTGTATCAAGACATGTTGGTCAAATATTATTTTCCATCTGTTGAGTCTGCCATGTCATTTGGAGGTTGAGTGAAAATAAAGTAAAAAGTATACTATTATTTCACATATTCTTACATATTGTAACTACTGTTGTTTTGTAAGTTTTATTACTCAAAAAAAGTGATTTTGAGAAGTGTGAACCTATCAGTCATGTTTTTGGACTGTTGGAGGAAGTACCCGTAGAGAACCCAATCATGCACAGGGAGAACATACAAACTACGGTACTCTAAACCATTTAAGTATGGAAAAAGCAAAACGATTTAAAAAAATCAATTAATTGATCCATATGTGTGATTAGAAAATTAATCCAGATACTAATTTCCTACACTTGCTTGATCATTTCAGAAGCTGGTAGCTATCTAATCGCACATGAGTAAAAAGTGCCAGGGATTACATGTCTAAGAAGTGATACTTATATGCAGGGTTAAAATAAGGTGATCATCTAGACCCAAGGAGGCATAAACTATAGAGGATCTCAGAAATTATTATTATTACTACACCATCGTACTACTATCTTGGATGTTGCCAAAAAAAAAATTCCAAAATCTCACACTTTTTTTTTTTTCTAATTGTGATTGGTAATATTGCAGCAGCATTTTCTAGACTTTAAACCTGAATCAATAAACTAAAAAATATCCTTACCAAATCTAGAGACATTGAAATTCATATGACAGTATTTAAATGACTGACCTGACTTTTTTTTTTTTTTTTTTAAGCTTAATTTAAAAATATGTTCTACTTGTCTATTAGGAGCTCAGACACTTGTTAGGTCTGAACTCTCCTGATCACCAAAGTTAGATTGACCACTGAGCCGGAAACCAGTTTAAACTGTTTTCCAATTAGTCCAATGATTTAATTGTTCTTAACTTTGCTGTTCAAACATATTTTTTAATCAAAATGTATTCATATTATTTTTTTTATTTTTTTTATTATTTTATGCCCTATGTTTTCCTTTGAACTTTGACTTGACATGATGCAAATTAATGTAAAATTTGTACATTTACATTTTCTTGATATTATTTTTATCGAATTTTGTTACTACTGAGATGAAAATATGTAACCGCTATTGTCTCCATCTAGCGAAAGTGTTTAACATTGCAGCTAATGAACTTCAATGAGTTTCTACCAATCAGATACAGCTGTTAGTAAAGTAAATCCCCATTGGTTTATTCCTGAGGGCAAGCTAACGTCGTCCTTTCCCATTGGCGAGGTTTCATCTAACGTGTCACATCAACACTGAGAACCTGATGAGTTTCACACACAAAAAAATATAGATACAAATGTCAAAACCTAATGATAAACTGACATCCTGGAAGCGTTTTCTTTTTGAATAAGCGGGGAAACGATGGAGGTGAGCTAAACGATACTTTCTCCGTTTCAGCTTTTGATAGCCTGCTAGCTAACTTCAGCTAGTTAAGAAACAAGCAAAGTCCAGTGATTCACTGGACAACATCCAACCTTTTTTCCTAAAGATTTGTGGTGCAGTCTTTATTCTGTCTTTCTTTTTGTTCATTTGATTATCTATACTGCTGCTAAAGTTGAACTAAAATATTGAGAGATGATTACATTTTGGATGTGTTGTTTTTTCTCTACCAGAATATTCAAAATCTTCCCATCGACATCCAGACCAGCAAGCTGTTAGGTGATGAACCTCTCACGCCACTTTCTTAAAGATATGATTTCTTCTTCTTTTCTTTATATTTCCCTACCCAATCTCTAAAAGTGATGCCGTCGTTACGTCATGAGTATATATCCAGAGATGTTTTATATTGTTTCCCCTTTGGTTGCTTTTATAACTAACTTAAAGTTCACATTTAAATGGTTTTCATTCTGTCCAGAATAAAATTTAATTTGATTTAAGTTCTATTCGAATCTGTTAACTTTTGTAGAGGAAATTCACAACATATGTCATCTGAAGACATTTTGTAAAAATCAAAGCCTAGTTTACCCTAGTTAACAAATAACGCTTTTAGTTCAGTGTTTTCCTCTAATTGGTTAAAAGTTTCCTATCTAAGGAAACCCAGCAAATTGCATCTAGTCATTGACTTGCAGCGTCCGCCTGTCTGGGATGAGCAGGTAGTGACAGCAAACCTTTAAACCAAATATTCATGAAGTGACAGTGGCATCAAGCTTATAATCTGCTGTTTAAGTGTGATCTTCTAAATCAAGTTCCTTTAAATCAAGACTAAAATCACATTTGTTTAGGATTGCCTACGACTGTTCTAGTTAAACAGTTCAACTGAAACATTAGTTCAACTTTTTTATTTTCTTTAGTCCAACTGTTTTTAATGTTCTTTTTTGTTTCTGCATTTTTTATTAATTTCTTTCCCTACTTGCTTTGATTCTGTTTTATTTTCCTATATTTTAATCATGTAAAGCACTTTGCATTGTCTTTGTACTGAATTGTGTTATACAAATAAATTTGCCTTGCCTTGCCTTCTAACTGCTACAAGTGTCTCTAATAATCCTGCAATCCTGGCCTCTTGTCATTTGAAATTTTACTTTTTTTTTCTTCCCAGACTGGCTACTTGATCGGCGTCACTGTAACATTAAGTGGCAAAGTACAGTGAAAACGGTACGAGAGAAGATCAATGCAGCCATTCAGGACATGCCAGAAAACGAGGAGATCAAGCAGCTTCTCTCCGGATCCTGTAAGTTTTCTCTTTTTCCTCTGTCAACACTGACAGAGAGAATAGTGTGCTTTTATATCCTACCTTTTCATATTTAAACTAAATGTTGTTCTATATAAAGTAGATCTACAATGCATTGGTTTTAATTCCTCATTAATGTAGCTCTATGAGCCCCATTTACTCACAGGACATTTTATGATGCAGACTTTTTAAATGCAAATGAATAACTTCTCCAACATGGAGAAAATAAGGAAAACAGTTGTTATTGATTTGAATGATCTGCACTAATTATAACTATTTTGGTTAGAGGACACATCAAATGTTAAGGATACTTTTTTTACTCTGTGGGTATAATATTTACCTGATAACTATTAAGTCACAGACACTGAATTTGATATTATCTATTAAATTAAGAAATAGTTTATTAATCCCAAAGAGAAATTAAATGTTGCAGTAAGTCATAGGGATTTTGTTTTTATTTTTTATTTTTATTTAGTTGTTTAATCAATGGTCTGACTGTTTACTCCCT